GCTTTGCATACACACAGTGGACGGAGCGCGACGCTGTCGCACAGCTTGCCATCCGAGCTCACCTGCCGGTCGACCAGAGGGACCACTTTCGTCAGGTGACGTCGGCCCAGACTTTTTAGGACACTGTAGTTAGACATTACTCCTCCCTCTCTCCTGCCACCCCGCCAGTGTCGTCCGTTGTTAGGGGAGGTGAAGCAACTGTTTGAGGAGCCGAGTGTAGGTGCCTGTGCATCTGCTCGAACAGGTGGTGCCGCTAGTGGAGGCGGAGGTTCTGGGGATGGACAGCAGCGACAGCAGAGTCAGTAGGAGACTCTCCCACCGCTGCAGCTTCGGGAGTGGGTTTCCCAGCAACACGTCCCTACTGCTGTAGATTCTGCTAACCTGCGTGCTTGTGAGCCTGCTAGCGCAGGTGTGGTTCCAACGGAGGCTTTGCTCACCTTCACGTTGGACTCAGTCGCGTCTCGCTGCTTCTTCCGTGACTGCACCACAGTCACACCACTCACCGCACCTGTCCTTGTCACTCTGATCGACCCCTCCTCTAGCCCAGTCGTTGCGCGAGCCTCCTCCACCATTCTCCCATGTCTGGTAGTCTCTTCTGGTTCCCTCTCAAGTTTCCACCTCCCCTCGTTCGCTACGAACTTGATGGGTAACTCTGTCCTCCAAGATCATTTGGTCAGTACCACCACTCCTAGGGGTGAGCTTGTGGTGATTTATATGGACTCAGTGATTGGCGACCACCTCGCTACATTGAGTCGGAGGCCTGGGTCTAGCCGGTACACACTGCACATTGAGTCTGCACAGTTGGCTGCATCCAGTCAGGAAGCTGCGTCGTGCTCATGTCGGTTGCTCACGCATCCGTCCCTCCTCTGGCATTACTGTCTTGGTCACTCGTCATTGCAGCGTCCGCATTGCATGCACTCGCGTCTCCTTATCTCGGGCCTTCCGAGGTCGTTGCCCTTGCTCCCTCCGTCGCTTGCGCCACCATGCACTCCCTGTGTCGAGGGGCGGTAGAGCGCCGCTCCTCACTCCTCCTCGTTCCCTCCGACGGAGACTCCTCTGCAGACCCTGCACATGGACGTGTGGGGCCCAGCCCCCGTTCCTGGGCCGGGCCGGAAGCGCTACTTTCTGCTGATCGTCGACGACTACACGCGCTACACCACGGTGTTTCCTTTGCTGTGCAAGGGCGGCGTCTGTTGTGTTTTGAACTCTTGGATCTGCACTGTTCGTCGCCAGCTGAGTGCGCGGTTCCACTAGTACATCTCGGCACTCCATTTGCACTTTCACCTTGGAGGTGAGTTTTCCTACGATCTCATTGAGGACTTTTGATGTGAGGAGGGCATCACTTAATCGTTCACACTTCTGGCTTCTCCACAGCAGAATGGTATCGCTGAACGTTGTATTGGCTTAGTCATTGAGGTTGCTTGCACCTCCATGATCCATGCAGTTTCTCTCCATTTTCTGTGGCTGCTAGAGGTGGTGGCGTTGGAGGTGGTGGCACTGGAGGTGTGGGCTCTGAGGGTGCTGACGCTAGAGGTACTGAGCCTGCAGTCGTTGACTCTGAAGCTGAAGGCGCTGGAGGTACTGGAGTAGGAGGTGCTGAGGCTTCTTGTACTAGAGGTACTGGGGCTAGGAGTGCTGATGCTGGAGGTGATGGAGCTGGAGGCGCTGCTGGTGGTGGTGCTGGAGGTACTAGAGCCAGGGTAGTGGAGGTTCTAGTGCAGGGGGTGCTACGCAGCCTGTGCAATGGCTACCGTTCTACTGGCCTCTGCCGGAGTCATTACTGCCACCACCTGGCTTAGCGCTTCGCAAGGTTCTCAGACTTCCGTCTTCCACTGGCCTTACTCCTCCCCTAGTATGTCCTCCGCCTGACGAGTCACTGCCTGCTCCTTCTCCTTACACTGAACAGCTGGCAAAGCGTCGTGAGCCTGCGTCTCGTCCTGCATCCCCTATTCGCACTATTCGTCGGGCTTGTCGTGTTCGTCCTCCACTTGTTCCCAGCACACAATATGGCACTTCGTCCTTCCTTTGTTCCACAGCGTGTTGCCCCGCTGTCTCCTCTAGCGTACTCTCCTCTTGACGTTCCTGACCTTGAGTCTGACCTTGTTCGTGCTCCTAGTCCTACTGTCACATGTGTTCTGGCCACACTTGTCACTAACCCTACGTTCGAGTTTACTGTTGCGTCTGCCCTTAGGCACATAGCTCGTTGACTTTGGTGTTGCGTGTCGTCTCGACTACTTTGCTAGTCTTGTTACTGAGTCTGAGTCTGACTGTCCTCCACCCGTCGGGGGTGAGTATGCCCTTGGCACAGGCGTCCTTTAGGACAGGTAGCTTGAGCTCGAATGCCTTGCGGCTTCTATACCTCATCTCGCTGCCATGCTGCTTCGGTGCCGGTCGTCGTTGACCGCTTAACGAAAATGGCGCATTTCGCCCTATGAAAAGCTGTTCATCTTGGCCTTTGTATAATTACGAGTTACCTTCGGCGATCATCAACGATCAAGATCCAAAATTCACGTCGAAGTTCGTGGCCACAGTACGGCACCCGCCTGTAGTTTTTGTCGTCATACCATTCGCAATCAGGCGGTCAGACAGAGCGGACATATCAAACAATGGAGCAGTTGATTTGCACGAATAGCCCCGATTTGACCAAGTAGGAGGACTAGCTCCAAATTCTGAAGTTCATGTATAACAACGCACCCTCCGCAACGACCAATCAATTACCGTTCTACCTCAATCACGGGATAGATCCCGTGGTACCCTCTTCAACGGCCCCCGACAACCCGGTACCACGATCCCAACAGTTTCTCTCGAAACTTCAAGCAGCCCGCTACAAAGCAGCCGAAATCATTCAAAAGGCCAACACTGCTCCGTCGTGGCGCCCTGGGGAGCTGCGCGCGGCCCCCGTAGCCTCGTCGCGACGCCCTGGGGAGCCGCTTGCGGCCCCCCGCTGCCCCGTCGCGGCGCCCTGGGGAGCCGCGCGCGGCCCCCGCTACCCCGTCGCGGCGTCTGGGGAGCCGCGCGCAGTCCCCTCGCTGCTGCCCCGCGCCCCTGCCCCGTGCGGCCTGTGGGTTTGGGGGTGGCGAGTGTGCGGGTGGCGAGTATGGGGGTGAAGGGTGTGTGCGCCGTCCCCTGCTCCTCCTCCTCCTCCGTCTCCCACTGCTGCAGCTGCCGCTGAGGGGGGTGGATGTGTTGGAGCCGTCGGAGTGGTACGAGGGGGATGGCATGTGAGCATTACTAGAGGTACAGCAGGGGTGTGTGAAAGGGATGTGGGACAGTTGGGGGAGGTTGACCGGAGGTAGCCGTTGTGACCGGGGGTTGAGTACTCCGGTAGCCCAGCGAGCCTGCTGCGCCAGTCGCCCGTGGGTCCGTTGCTCCTGCAGCTTAGTGCGGAGCCAGTTACTCCTGTAGTCCGGAGGTTGAGTGCTCCGGTAGCCACCGTGCGCGCCGCTCCTGTTGCCCGTGTGACTGCGGCTTCACCCGTCGCCTTCTATCTCCACTCCTCTCACAGTCTCTCCTCCTCCTCACTTGCCCTCTATGACTGCCTCTAGCTTTGCTTGTATTTGTGAACCTACTGCTCTATGACTGCTCGATTTGCTGATTATACCCCACTTTGACTATGGGGGTGTGTCAGAATGTGATGTTTGTCTAGCCTGCAGTGGGGTACTCTATAGCGAGTATAGCCCAAATTAGGGTTTGCTATATGTACTCAACTGCCTGCTAGTGAAAACCTCTCCTTGATGTTTCTCATTCCTGCCTAGCATTTCAACACCCTCGTGTCGCATTCGGGTTTCCCAACCCCGAACCCGCACCCAACCATCTCGCGACTCTGCGACCTTAGCCTGGCTAGCCTTGCTATATTGTGCTAGGCCCCATCATTCTCTCAGTTGATGTAATTACTTCTGCGTTATTGCGTTGGCTGCGTTCTGCAGGCACGACAGAGGGGGGGGAGGCGGTAAATAGGAACCTTCCCCCAACTGCGTTTTTTGGATCAAACGCAGTTGGGGGAACGGATCCGAGCCTCCCATTTACCCTCCGAACGTGAACGAAGGTAAATGGCAACAGAACAGCCATTTACCCTCGTGGATATGAGGGCGTAGGAAGCTGCCTATTTCCCCTCCCCACCTTCCTTCTCTGGCAAAAATGCCTCCTTCTCCCCCCCCTTCCGAAAACTGTTCTTGCCCGGGATGTGAGACGGAGGAGGGAGGGAGGCGCTGGGTTAGGGAACACCACACTTGAACCCTGGAAAGCAAACAGCCCCTCCCTTGAGTAGCCCAAACAGGGACGCGTCAAACTAAAAGGTAAAAAAAAAACAAGCCACCAACCTTGGAAGGTTGGAATCAGCGAGGTTTGTGTCTTGCTGGAGGAGTGCAGGGATGGACCCTTTTTTCCTACGTGGTAACCCTTCCCAAATCTTCAACCCTTTTTCTGATTTCGTGGAGCTCTATCTACCCAACTTCTGTGAGTTGGAAATTGTGGCTGTTTTTTCGGCATTTACCTTCAGCAGCTTCGCACCCTAAACCCGAAATTTTCAACTTTCGGTTGAAGCGGGGCGGGCGGGGGGGGGGGGGGGGGGGGGGGGGGGGGGGGGGTTCGAAGGGGAAACTGCCTCGGAACCCTCGTCATTTCCCTTCGCCCCCCCACCTCCCTCCAAAGGGAAATGCCTGCAGAACGCAGCCATTACGCGTACTCTACTCATTTACAATTCATAATACTTTCTATATATGAACTGAAGCTTTATGCGTGCAGTGTAAACGATGTACTACGGTAGGCATGTTACACAAGTGAGCATCAATCAAGAAGCAGCTGCCATCACAACACAGGAGCAATATGCGTATTTAAAGACAAGACTAGTTAGTTACACTTCAACCACACCTTCACCGGCATTCCCATTCTTCCATCCACCCCCCAGACCTACCTGGCAAACTTCAATCCAGCCCATCCATATCCCTAACAGTTCATACTTGTGTCCCGCAGCAGCGCCAACCTCTAACCCATCCGTCACATCAGTGCATGAGCCGGGCCATGCCTCGGCTCTGGAACAAGCACGAGAAGAGCCCAAACCCCGGGCCAGGCCCATCACCAAAATCATCATCACAGAGATCATCCACATCATCCACCACCAGGCCCTTCTCCCTCAGTCTCTGCACCAACTCCTGCCGCCGTCTCTCCTCCTCCACACTCACAACCGTTCGCTCCCCTCCTCCTCCTCCTCCTCCTCCTCCTCCTCCTCCTCCTCCTCCTCCTCCTCCTCCTCCTCCTCCTCCTCCTCCTCCTCCTCCTCCTCCTCCTCCTCCTCCTCCTCCTCCTCCTCCTCCTCCTCCTCCTCCGGTGCTTCTCCTCCTCCGCCTCTCCAGCACCTGCTCTAGCAAGTCCTGGAGTGCCCGCTTCTCCTCCTCCAGCACTTGCAGCTTTTTCACCAGCTTCTCGTTCAGAGCAGCCATGGGCTGCAGCACCTGCACCTTCTGTGTCGCCGCTTTCAGTGCCGATCGCAGCTGCACCACCTCCTCCTCTAACGCTGCCAACCGTGCCTCGTCCACACTCCCACTCCCGTTCCCACTCCCGCTCCCGCTCTTTCCTCCCTTGCCAAGCACCTGCTCGGGCTCAGCGGCTGGCCCTGCTGCTTCATCATCCCCTGGCTTATCATGAACCACAACCAGGTCACCATCCACGCTTGCTGTCCGTGCCGCCGTTCCTCCTCCTCCCCCTCCTGCTCCTGCTCCTGCTCCTGATCCAGCTATAGCTGTTGCTGCTGCAACCGCAGTGGTTACCTTCCCAACTGCGCCCCACTTCCCTCTCCCGCTCTCCTTCCTGGCAGAAGCCGCACCCAGATCCTTCAGTTCGCCTTCTACCCGCTGCATGTTCCGCTTCAGCATCCCCATCTCGACTGCCTTTGACTTTACTTCGGATTCTAGCTGCTTTATCCGCTCATCCTTCCTCTTCCCCTCCTCCTCTAGAAGTGCCTTTGCTCTCTCACAGTCCCTCACCTGAGCTTGCAACTTGGCCACTTCTCCCCCCTCTCCTCCAGCACTATGATCCCCTCCTCCCCCTCCTCCTGCTCCTCCCTTCCAACTATAACTTCTACTCACCACCCTGCCTTTCTCCGATGACCCACCACTGCCACCACCACTGCCAGCATCAACCGTCTCTCCCGCGTCCCCTCCGCCTGTCCCGCCCTGGCCTAATCCCGCCAGCTGCTGCTTCTGCTCCCTCACCTGTTGCTGCAGCTTCTCCACCTTGCTTTTCAAATCCATGTTCTTCATACGAAGCTTCCCCATTTCAACGTCTAGCGCCACAGCGCTCTCTGCCTGCTCCCTGCGCTCTGCAGCCCCGCTCGCCTGCCTCTTCCCCTCCTCCACCTCCCTCTTTAGCGCTTCTATCTCTTTCTCTTTCTCATCTACTACACCCTTCAGGACGCCATCCCTCTTCCACACTTCAAGCTCTTCTTTAGCCGCCCCCAGCTGCTCCTGTAGCTCCTTTGTCTCCTTCTGCAGCTTATCCACTTTCATTTTCAGATCCCCGTTCTTTATTTTCAGCTGCCCGACCTCCACCTCCAGCCCCACCGTGTACTGATCTTTTTCTTTCACAGCTGCCCGGCTCTCCTCCTCCTCCTTGCTTTCCGAGCTCGCAGAAGCTTCAACTGCAGGCATCATTCGCCCCCCCATGACCCACATCCTCTTAGCACCCGAACCAGAAGGCACGCGCGTCAATGCGCGCCCTCCGGGTGTCGATGGCGCGGGGATGGCCGCAGAGGGGGTAGGGGGAAGCGCAGAGGCGGAAGCGGCGGCGGCGGCGGCGGCGGCGGCGGCGTCAGAGGCACCAGCGGAAGAAGCGACAGAAACATCGCTGCCAGTCGGACTAGCCAGATCACTTCCCAGCCCTCCCCCAACCTTACGCTCTTCCATATCCTGTCTCCCCCCGCCTTCTTGGCTGTCCTGCTGCTGCTGCAGAGCCTTCAGCTGAGCAACCTCCTCCTTGCTCGTTTTAAGCTCCTCCCGCAGCTTCTTTATAGTCACCTGCAGGTCCATCTGCTTTATCCTCCACTGCCCCGCCTCAACCTCCTTTGCCACCTCCTCCGTCTCCTTCCCGTCCTTCTCGCCTTCCGCTTTCTCCTCCTCCCCCTTCTCCGCCTCCCCTCCCTTCTCCTGCTCACTCCCTCCATCCCCGCCAACCTCCCCCCCACCGCCCACGCCCTCCGCTTCTTCTCCCTCTCCCCCTCCCCCGGCCTTCCCCCATTCTTCCTTCAGCTTCTCCAGTGCAATCGCGGCTTGTGCTTCCCTCTCCCGAGACTCCTTAAGAGCGGCCGTGAGACGGTCTAACTTCAGCTTAAGATCCATATTCCTGATCCGCAACTGCCCAACCTCCACTTCTAACGCCACGTTCTTCTCATCGTCTCGCATTCCCGCCTTCCCACTCCCCCCTCCGCCCGCACCCGCGACCGCGCCTCCGCCCCCAGCCGCGCCGTCCGCACCCCCCTCTCCCCCCGCGCCGGTTTCCGCCTCCCCCTCCACGATCTCCCTCAGCATTGCGTTTTCCTCCTCGAGTGACTCTAACGAGGCCAGCTTCTGCCTCAGCGCTTCCTCCTCCTCCGCTGCGGATTTAACGCGCCGAAAGAGCGCATCGAGCTGCTCCTTAGCACGACCCACCGCTTCCCGCGCCAGCGCTATTTTCGACACGTCAGCCGCCTTCGCTTGCGCGTCCTCCTCACGTTTCTCCTCCTCCTTACTCTCCTCCCCGTTCTCCTCCCCTACCGACCTCTGTTCGGACAAAGCTTCGACAAGCCCCTTCCATGCGCCTTCCCCGTCTTCCTCCTCCAGTCCTTTCTCCAAGCTGCCCAAAATCTGCCCCAAAAAAATCCCAATAGCGTCGGGATCCTGCCCGAAGTCAAACCTCCCGCCGCCCTTTTCCTTCCCCGCACCCTCCGCCGCAGCCGCATCTTCCGCAAGCTTTGCGGAGGACGAGTTAGGGCTAATCATCGGCGATAACAAATCAGCCTGCCCGTCTTCTCCAGCCGCCGCGTTCGCAGTAGCGGCGGCGGCGGCGGCGGCGTAGTGCGTCGAGGTGACGAATAGCTGCTCGTAGCGCGCGGCGAGAGTCAAGTAACGGCTATGCAGCAGGTCGACTTGCTGCAGGATGTCCGGGCGGCGCGCGTACATCAGCTCGGCGCGCTTGCCGAACGAGTCCGCGCCTTCCTCTAGTAGCTTGTGAACCGCGTCGGCGCACTTAGTAACGTCTGCGAGACACGGGAGGGAGGAGGGAGGGAGGAAGGAGAGCGTGGGAGGCGCACGAAGCCGGGAAAGAGGGACAGAGAAAGGAGAGAGGAAGCGGAATATAAACGCCGTGAAAACTCAGAGCTTTTGCCAAAGAGTGTGTTAACTGCGTAGGTGCAAACGGGCGAAGGCTGAGCGGAAGGAGAGGAGACACAGTGGGAAGGCGCAAGAAGCAAGATAACAGAAAGAGGAAGAGAAAGCTAGAGAGGAAGAGAATGCTAGAGAGGAAGAGAGAGGGATGAACGAGGAGCGGAAGGATAGAAGCGGCAGCCGAGGAGCACCGCGTTTACAGGAAAGCGCTATGTGAGCAAGCCACCCTCATCGATTCCGTCAGCCGCCTTTATTTTCCGGTCAATGAACCAACCACGATGCAGCGACCGCGATCTACGATTTTTTTTTGGCGAACAGGAAAAAATATATTTGCGAAGCCTTGTTAAAGGAAAATAGAATTTAGATGCGAGAAGGAACGAGCGAAATGCAGCACGAATCAGGGAAATTTATAGGAAATTACTTACACCGTCAGTAGGGAAAAAAAGGCACAAAAAGAAGCTGCTAACGGGTTAATAAAGCCAACTCAAATTGCGATGCAGCTTGGCATTGTCTTCTATTCCCGGTCATTGCTCACCTTGGGTATTCACTTTAAGCCAACGGTTAACGGCCGACTGCGACAAGAGTCGCTTTCCTTGATCGCCGCCCTTGGTCGTCCGTGCTCCGCCACCTCCGCCAGGTGTTAACATAGAACCACTACCTTCGGCCCCCGCCGCCGTACGCAGCTTCAGCTTGTCCTTGAACTTATCCATTGACGCGGATTATGATTTTCGTCGCGCAGAGTAGGAAAATCGATGCAGCAGATTGACAAGGAGAACTAGGAATGGAGTCCGGTACTGGTACACATCAGCATAAGAATCTAACAAAAGACGGAAAATGCAACGGTAAGGATTTCGCAAAAGCCAGCCAAATGCGAGGCTCCAACTAACCACTCTCGGCCATTTCTATCGATGTCGACTGGCTGAGGGCCCTAGTATTTGGAAGGACAGATGTCGGAGCATCCGCCTTGGGGTTGGAGCTTTCTAGTGTGAATGTCTCAGAATGGAGGAGTTTTCTTCGGATGCATTGCACGCATGCGAGATACTGTATGGGCTGGAGGTGAGGAACCCGAGGAGATCAGAAAATTGAGGTTATTAGAGGGAGCGGCGGGCAGCTGGGCACGAAAAAAAGGGGAAGGGTGAAGGGCGATCGGAAAAGGGTAGTGTTGGGAGTGGTGGTGGGCGGAATGGGTTTGGGTGGAGAGGGGGGATGGGGGGCGCGATTGAGTGAGGGTGGCTGGCGGGGAGGTGCATCAGGGAGCTGCGCACCAAGCTGCGGGCAAAATTTATGTTCTGCGGGCAATGCCGGCACCATGCCAGTTCCGCTGACCGTGGGAAGGGTTTTTGCCCCGCCAATGCAACGGTTCAAAACCACTGCTCCACACGCGCGAATCTTGAAAGACGCAATTATCGATGCGCGCGACGTTGATGTGGCGGAAGCTGACGGCGGATCGCATCTTGTTGAGCGATCTTTTCGGGGATCTTTTCGGGGATCGCATGGTACATTCTTGACCTGCAAGGGTGCATGCACACCCACTTTGACTGGAATTGATAAGAACTATTTATGTAAACGTAACTTATGCAAACTCACGTTCTAATTAAGAATCTTCATGAAACACGCTTTGTGGTGGCACCGCTCAGGAGATTTTGGCAAGATAGTGAAAACCTGAGCAGTTAACTTCTTTGAAGTTCCTGTATTTCTTTATACTCTCCTTCTTTGAGGTTCCTGTATTTCTTTGTATTTTACTCTCTACTCATCTGACACCCTTGTCTACAAGTTCAACCACAAGTATCATCTACATACCACTGGGGAGTTATAAACTGGCCATGTCAGCCAGCAAACTGAGTTAACATCCTTCACAAACTCTTTGAACGACCAAGCCAAGAGGAAGCCTGATAAGAATGCTGCAAAGGAAAGAAACACAAAACAATAAAGAAGAAATGAAAGCTGATACACAACGGCAAATGAAAGTGGGAACAAAAGTTATAAATCACATACGATGGCACTGTTGCAAAACAAAGACTTCGTACCAGCTGCATCGCAAACTGAAGTCAAGATTCAGCAGGCGCCGCCTTCACCGATTTCAGCAAATCGGCAAGCTCGCCAGACTGATGTAGGGATAAGATGATTGGGTATCGTGGGGTGGTAGAGGAGGGGAGACAGAAGAATGGTAGGACGGAGGAGGAGGAGAGGATTGTGACAAGAGGTGGAGGACGAACAATAGAGTTAGAGCATGCGTACAGGGCACATGACAGAACACACTTGCGTCCCATGCCTTCTACCGTCCTTGTGCACCACGTGCCAGATTCATGTCATGCACAATGCATCCACCATGACATGCATGACATGTATGGCACGTATAACATGTATGACATGCATGTATGGTACGTATCACATGTATGACATACATGCATGGCACGTATCACATCTATGACATGCTATACCTGGTGCATCTTCATTACAATATCGCAGCCACCAATAAACTCCCCGTTTACATAGACCTGAGGGATAGTAGGCCATTCACTGCACAAGAAGGTAAGTTGTGCATTCATGGGGAGAAGAAGGCACATAAGGTGGTATGGTAGTAAGATATACGCAACAATAAGATACACATTAACAATACACTTATCACAGCATTGGAATGCACAAATGCATGCATGCAGAACAAGGGTCAACATACAGTGAGCTGGAAAGATGCATGATTACATTTGGAATCGAGTTCAAAAAGTGATTTCTTAACCCACCTGAAAGATTTGATTCCTTCTCTGAGGTCTGGATCCTCCAGAACGTTCACTCCCTTGAAGTCCACACCTTCTCCAGGGGACGTTGAAATGATGCACGGGCAACAGGAAGAAGGGCAGGAAAAAAAGGAATTGAAAAGAAAAACTTGGTGCAGAATGGCAACGAAGCTGAAAAAAAACCGAGAGAGAAGGAACGCTGAAATGAACAACGCTGGGGTGCTTTAAACAGCATGGCAGCACGTGCATGAAGAAGCATGGCAGCGAGCCAGCCAGCATACCATGAGCAGCAAGCACACGCACGACAGCAGCACTGAAGCCGCACATGGGCGCGGATGGCAGGCCCTTCATGAACACCACCACCGGGCATGACTTGATGTCCTGTGCGAGGGGAGGGGGGGGGGAGAGGGGGGAAGGGGAGGAGCAGGGAAGGAAAGGGGAGTATCTGCATGATGGGACGCTGCCTGCCTGCCTGCATGATCTTGACATGGCACAGAAGCGCATGTCCTGAAGCCGCACATGGACCGGACGGCAGACCCTTCATGAACACCACCACCGCGCATGACTTGATGTTTTGTGGGGGAAGGGGGGGTAGGGGGAGGGCGACCAGGAGGAGGGAGGAAAGGGTTAGTACAGCTTTTGAGTCGACTCAAAGGAAAGGGTTGGCATAGTGGGAGACTGCCTGCCTGTATGTCCTGAAGCCGCACATGGGTGCAGCAGATGGGATGGGATGGGGGAACCACCTTGTGAACACCATGGGCACTGTGTGGATGGAAGCTCACGCCATGGTTGACACGAGACAGCGCTTAGTGAAGTTGCCTGAAAGCTACAGTCGCCACACGTCACGCCTCCTCTACACAAAATCGTGCGCTTACCTCTTGAACCTACTCCTACTCGACCATTTGCAACACATACCCGTTATAAGCAGCACTGGTGTCAACCTCAGCGTCGAGACGCCCCCCAACACTCAAGGAAGAACAAACGAGTCCTGGCAGCACGGACCCTTTGTGCACGTCCCTGAATGCATGCACCCCGCTTACCTCCTTAATCTGCGCGTACACCGGCAGCACCCCCTCGGCCGCCTTGATCTGCGGTTTGAAGTCGTCGTGCGTCTCGCCGCCCTCCTCGCTGGGAGGAGTCGCGCCGCCGCTTCCAGGCGCCGACCCCGCCGCATGTGACGGCGCTGACCCCGTCTGCAGCCAGCGCGCGCCGATCAGGGTGCCTGAAAACGCGGGGAACGAGACCCGACGTAGTTAGAAGAGCGCAGAGATAGGGCGACTCACTGGACAAATTCATGGCTGCGCAAAATCCGACACAAAACCATGTTTTCTATAGATAGACAACGAGAATTGGCTGGGAAACGCGGAAACACGGGCTCAAGTTTGGGCTAGGCGAGGATTTGCGCGAAACTACAGATACGAAACTCGATGCTGGAAACTGGAAGGCGGAGGGAGGAGAGCGAGAGAGGCGCTACCAAGAGGGAGGATCGGTGCGGCGGGAGAAGTCGCGAGGATCCTTCGCGAAAAGGCGAGGAGAGGCGACAGAGCGGGTCGCGACGCAGCCATGACGAAAAGCAAGCGCGATTCGTGAAAAGGATTAAGATCCGGCCTGGTGTGGATCAACAAGGCAGAAAGCAAAACGCGAGGCGCTAGTTGTGAGAAAGAACCGAGTTGGTCGGGAGGGGGAATGAACGTGGCTGAACGGGGGCAAATGACGAAGTGCGTGAATGAACCCAATAGAAATGGCGCGAAATGTGCAGTGTAAATTTTGTACACCGTATGTAAGTCACCCTATTTTATCATATCACGATTGCATCTAGCATGGTAATGATGGTAAAAGGGACTAATCCACCTCATTCTCATCCATACAGAACTGGAGGAATAAAAAAATATGACACGAATATAAGGCACACAAAAACAGTACTTCAAAATCTTCAGAGAAAGCAAATATATACAGAAGCTATGTACAATCACAACACCCAAAATGTACAAACCATCCGTGAACACTTATTCAAGTGGTTAGTCCATTGGGCAAGTTTCTCTGCGGCTGCCCTACAACCTTTCCTCCAGTGTCCGGAAACTCCTCAAACCCAGGCAAAGGTCGCACACTCCCATCTCGCCCCACTTGAATTGGGTACTTGACCAAATGCCCCTGCAACTCCACCGGCGCCTCTCCAGCCCACTGCATCCACCTGTCCTGCGCTGATTGGTTGACGGCTCGCATGCAATCCAAAGTCCATGGGTGGTCGTGGATGGGGGAGAGGGATCCAAGATGCTCCGCCCATAAACCCATGCGGAAGCCATGCACCTGATCATGCCATGCAGCAGTGGTATCAGAGCGGCAAGACGACAAGGCAACAAGGGAAAAAGGACATCGAATGAAGATGGGAGGTCACACACAGCAACCATGCACACAATCATCAGAATCAGCAGCTCTACAAGACACAGGAAAACCATAAACTTTAGTCTTATAACCCCTTTCCTCCTCTCCTCCCTCCCTCTCCTCTCACTTGTCCCTTAGGCGCATGGCCATGCTCGCTCAACGTATGGTGCGGCTGGAAAAATCCCCGCCTCCCCCCATTGAGCGCTTCAAATAAATCAACTCCCTCCTACCCAACGAAGCACCCCCCTCTCACCTGCCACTTGGGTGCATGCCCGCGCTCGCGCCTAGTGTGGTGCGGCTGGTACGCGCCCACAGCCATCTCGGTGTCTCTCGCGCCGTCCATGGACGTCTGGTTGATATTCGCTTACCCCACCACCACATACTCATCTCACTGTCTCTCCCCCAACGGTTGGTTATTGCTTTTGACTACTAGAAATTCACACCCCTCACCAACCCCTTGGGCGCATGCCCGCTCGCCCCACCTCTCCCTCTCCCTCCACTCCTCTCTCACCTGCCCTTTAGGTGCATGCCCGCGCTCGCGCCACGTGTGGTGCGGCTGGTACGCCCCCACAGCCATCTCGGTGTCTCTCGCCCCGTCCATGGAGCGCTGGTTGATGTTCGCAGACCCCACCACCACATACTCATCGTCCACCACCATCATCTTGGAGTGCACGTAGATCATGGCCCTCCGGTGCTGCAGGACTGAGCGCTGTTTTGGGGAAAGAGAAGGGTGAAATGAGATTGACCTTTTGACGTGCCTTACACCCCACCACCACGTACTCATCATCCACCACCATCATCTTGGAATGCACGATGATCATGGCGCACCGGTGCTGCAGCACCGAGCGCTGGCGTGGGAGGGGGGAGGAGAAAGGTATTATTGGGGGAAGAGAGTCAACGGGTGGTATGACAGACAGCAGCAGCAGTATGACAACTTACGCTGGGAAGGGCTGGCTCCTAAGTCGGAAAAAAAAAAACACCAAGAGTCAGACTCGCAAGATACAGCAGCGGCAAGAGAGAATACTCAAGTTCAGATTATTGAGTCAACTGATTAGTTTGGATGGAACTCACGAGAACAGAGTCACCGGGAAGACCTGGCATGTGATGCTGCTCAGACGCACGGGGAGAAGCCGGCTGGTTACCGTTGCTGTTGCGTTTACCACCCTCGGTGCGGTTACCACCAGTATTATCACCATCATCAGCAGCAGGGGCAGGGGCAGCAGTGGTGTCGGCATCGCCAGGTGGCAGCTCCCGGTTGGCCAGGCAGAAGAAGCTGAGGTAGTCACAGGGATGGGGGCTATGAGCTGATGCTGCTCCTCCTGCTCCTGCATCCTCCCCTGCTGCTGCTTCTGCTGCTGCTGGTCGTGAGGCCACTTCTGCTTCCGGTTCTAGCTGCCCTACTAGCCCCTTCACCGTTTCCTTAAACTTCCCCCCCCATCCCTTCTGCCCCACCTCCCCTCCCTTCCCACCAGCATTCACCTCAGCCATGCCCTGCCCCTCCCATTCCCCTGCCTCGCCAATAACGGTCGCCTCCTGCCCCCTCTCCGCCTCTCTTGCCCTCGCCTCTGCCTGCACCTGCACCTCATCTAGAGCCCGGGCTATCACACGATACATTGCCTCCATGGTGCGCGACTGGAGGGGGGAGAATGGGGGGAAGAGGGGCGGGGAATGAGGAAAGAACGCGGGAGAACTGGGGGGACGGACGGAACGCCCGCCCTCTGATGGCCCCTCGCTTCTGCCTGCACCTGCACCTCATCTAGAGCCCGGGCTACCACACCTGAACCATGGCCTCCATCCGTGATACGTGACTAAGGGGATGAGGGGACATGCGGGAAGGGGGGGGTAACGGGGGGAAGAGGGATGGTTGGCGATGGGTGCAGAGGAGTGGGGGAAGGCCAGGTCGGTGGGACAGCAGGGTGCAACGCCTGCTGTCCCTCAGATGGTCCTTTGTATTGATTCAGGCAGGGTACAAACATGCAACGCCTGCCCTCCCTCTCTCCTCCCCTCCGCCTGCACCTCATATCCAAAGCCCAAGCTCTCACATGGTACATGTCCCCCCATGGTTGGTTACACACGAACAGAAACACCAGTCTTCAAAAACCCAAAACCTCCCTTCCCCCCCCCTCCTCCCCCCCTAACCCCCCCCGTGCTCACTTTCCCCTTCCCTCCTCCCTCCCATTCCTTATGGGCCATGGACACTGGCACGATCACATACGACCACTTAACCCCAAATCCCACACCCCGAACCCCGAAACCCTTAAAACCTCAGCACCCCCCTTTCAAAACTACTACTCACCTGCCAGAAGAGAATCTCCTGCGTTGCAGCTCCTTTGGGATCCCCTCGGGCCACATGGGCACGACCACATACGCGCTGAACCCCCGACCCCCAAACCTCTACACCAAACACATCCTCCCCCCCCCCCCCCCCGCCCCGCTTCCAAAAACGCTGACCTGCCAGAAGATGATCTCCTGCGTGGCAGCCCCTTTCGGGTCCCCCTCGGGCCACATAGGCATGACCACATACGCGCTGAAGCGCCAACTCCCAAACCCGAAACGCCAAACCCCCACCCACCCCCCCCCCCATCTCCCACGCAAGCCCTCACCTGCCAGGAGAGAATCTCCTGCGTGGCGGCACCCTTGGGATCCCCTTCGGGCCACATGGGAACGACCACATACGCGCTGAAGCGCTCCCCGCTCTTGATCTTCCTCGCGATCTTGAGCGCGATCTCCATGGGGATGCTGTGCCACGCGCCGCTGCCCTGGTGCGAGGCCCACGCATAGGCGGACCCCAGGAAGTACTGGTTCTCGATGTGAATGAAGTGGTGCGCGCGACGGATGGCCGCGATGTATGCGTCTTGAATGCTGCGATCCACTGTTACTCCCTTGTCGCCCACCAGAGACTGCGAGGGGTGAGGGTGGAAGGAGGAGAGGGAGAGGGTGGGCACAGGACAGGGCAGAGCGTGTGAAGGAAGCAGCGCGTAGGCGGACCCGAGGAAGTACAGGTTCTCGATGTGAATGAAGTGGTGTGCGAGGTGCGGGTAACGGGTGCGGGTGTGGCCAACAAGGAGGGGAGGCACAACCAGCAGCAGCAGCAGCAGCAGCGGCGAGAGCGGCGGCGGCGGCGGCGGCAGCAGCAGCAGCAATGGGACGAGGCGTCACCTGTGCCATGGCGTGGAGAGGGTTCTTTGGGAAGCTCACCACTGATCCAGAGTCGATGGACCGGAACAACTGTTAGGGCGGTTCACCAGTTGGGGGGAAAAAGAAGAGGAGAGAGAAGGAGCCGCACGGGAGGTAGGACAATCTCTAGGTCAGGTGGACTGTTTTTGAAGTGTCTGCAACAAGGCATAGCACAGGCCAGCAGAAAAGACAGCAAAGCACTGCATAGCACCACAACAGTGTCTGCAACAGTGCATTGCAGACACTTCAATAACAGCAAAGAAGACGGCAAAGCCCACCACTGATCCAGAGTCTATGGACCGGAACAGTTGCCACAGGGGTTCACCGGACAGGGACGGGGATAGACACGAGAGGATAGAGGAACCGCACGGGTTATGAGATGTCCAAGTCAAGTGGCCTGCTGTTGAAGTGTCTGCAGCACAGCACAGCACAGAACAGCACGGCACAGCACGGCACAGCACAGCACAGCACAGCACAGCACAGCACAGCACAGAACAGCACAGCACAGAACAGCACAGCACAGAACAGCACAGCACAGCACAGCACCGCACAGCACCGCACAGCACAGCACAGCATAGCAAGGAACTGTACAGCACCACACAGAACAGTATAGCATCCTTACCTGCACGTGCCACGTCTCGGGATCATCTCTTGCAGTGACCATGACACTCATGTCATCATCATCATCCACTGCCCTTGCAGCAGCAGCCCTGGCAGCAGCAGCATCAGCAGCGCCAGAAGCACCGCTCCCCACACCACCCCTCAGAGTGTGCAGTCTCCGCATCACTGCCTCCCTTATGCTCCTGCTGCGCCGTGTCTCTGCTGCTCCCTGTGCTACTGTCTCCGGTGCTGCTGGCTGTGGTGCTGCAGCCTGTGGTGCTGCTACCTGCTCCTCGGTTGCTGGGTCAGCTCCCTGCCATCGTTCCCTCTCTTTGCTCTCCTCTCCCAGCACCCTCCTCCCCTCACCCCCCCACTCCCCGCTCACCTCCTCCCTCTCACTCCCCCTCCCCTCCTCCCTCCCCACCTCCCCTCTCTCCCCCCTCTTCGCAACCACACGCTTACTCCAATACCCCCGCCCTTCCTCCCTATCAACCACGCTCCGCCGCCCCATCCTATACCCTCTCTTATGCAGCACAGCCGCACTGCCATGCAGCGCACGGATGTCCCCGCGGTGCAGGCGCTTCCTGGGGGAGGCGCGCGCGCCCTTGGTGGCGCGCAGCCAGCGCTGCTCGAAGTTGGTCAGCAGGTCCCACACAATAGAGCCCTCCACCTTGCACTGTATGTCGTGCCATGGCTGCCTGGGTCCCACGTCGGGTTTTGTCTGAACGTGTGGGCGGGGAGTGGGGGTTGGGGGTGGTATCGAGGGGTTGGGAAAAGGATAGGGGGTGACAAAGTTGGTGAGTAGGTCCACATGACTGCGCCCTCCACCTTGCACTGTATGTCGTGCCATGGCTGCCTCGGTCCCACGTCTGGCTTGGTCTGAACGTGTATGGGGAAAATGGGGAGGGATAGATTGGGGGATTGGATGTGGGAGAAAGAGGGGATCCCCGGGATCGGGGGTGGGCAATTGGAGAGCAGGTTCCACGTGATAAAACAAGTGCATTGAGGCGTTTCAAATCGCTTTCAAATCGTAATAAAAGAAGTGCACGCTCTACCTCGCAACACCACTGCGCCGTGACGCCGTCTACCTTGCACTGCATGGCGTGCCATGGCTGCCTGCGTCCCAGCTAGCCCAGGCTATGAATGTGGGTGGGGAGGAGGGGGAGCGACTGGAAAGGCGAACGTGGAAAACAGGGGCTTGCAAGCTTGCGGAGTGCTTTTGTGAAGTCTCAAAAACACTCTGCACGCTCGCGAGCTCACACCTCTCGCAAGTAGCCGGAGGAAGTGGGATGGGGGCGCCAAGGTAGCAAGTCAGGTCCCATGTCATGTCCCATGGTACCGCTCCCTCCACCTTGTGCCGGCACAAGACTCTCCTGTTGCTCTATGCATGCAGCACAGTAACCTCCCTTGCCACTGCCACCCACCCCCCACCCACCCCCCCCCCACCCACCCCCCCACCCACCCCCCCCCACCCACCCCCCCACCCACTTACCCACCCACCCACCCACCCACCTCACCTTGACGTTGCGTTGGTAGAAGTCCCCCTGGTGCTCCGCATGCACCGTCTTCGCCACAGATACAACCACACAGACCGCCACTCACCCTGAACCCTCACCCAACCCCCCACTGCCGCACCTTGACGTTGTGCTGGTAGAAGTCCCCTTGGTGCTCCGCATGCAGGGTGCGGAACAGAAACGTGTTAAGTGCATGCATCCCCCACTCGCGCACCTCTCCCCTCCCTTACTCCACCGCGCTCCACCCCACCGCACCTTGACGTTGTGCTGGTAGAAGTCCCCCTGGTGCTCGGCGTGCAGAGTGCGGAACAGCGGGTGCTCCTGTGTGTCGTACCGCCCCACCGACAGGTCTATCCCCCCCATGAACCCCACCAGCGGCCGCCGCGCCCCCCGTGCTGCTCCTCCTGCTCCTGCTGTTGCTGTTGCTTGTGCTGCTGCTGGTTGTGCTGGTGCTGCTGATGCTGGTGCTGCGTCTGCAATGAGGAACTTCTGGTGGTGCGTGTACATGCTCTCCACGAGCTGTGAAGGGGGACGGGAGGGGAGGGGAGGAGAGGGGAGGAGCGGGGAGGGGAGGGGAGGGGAGGAGAGGGGAGGAGCGGGGAGGAGAGGGGAGGAGCGGGGAAGGGAGGGGAGGAGAGGGGAGGAGAGGGGAGGGGAGGGGAGGGGAGGGGAGGGGAGGGGAGGGGAGAAGCGGGGAGTGGAGGGGAGGGGAACGGAGGGGAAAAGAGGGAAGGTGTGTGTGAGGGAAGCTTCTGGTGGTGCGTGCTATGGGGAGTGGGAAAGGTGGTCTTGGGATAGGGAATGGGGTGGGGAATGGGGTGGGGAATGGGGTCGGGAATGGGGTGGGGAATGGGGTCGGGAATGGGGTGGGGACTGGGATGGGGAATGGGATGGGGAATGGGATGGGGAATGGGATGGGGAATGGGATGGGGAATGGGGTGGGGAATGGGATGGGGAATGGGATGGGGAATGGGGTGGGGAATGGGATGGGGAATGGGGTGGGGAATGGGGTGGGGAATGGGGTGGGGAATGGGGTGGGGAATGGGGTGGGGAATGGGGTGGGGAATGGGGTGGGGAATGGGGTGGGGAATGGGGTGGGGAATGGGGTGGGGAATGGGGTGGGGAATGGGGTGGGGAATGGGGTGGGGAATGGGGTGGGGAATGGGGTGGGGAATGCCTGGACTGGGAATGGAACAAACAGGTCGGTGTTGGAGATGTGTGAGGGCAGAAGGCACTACCGGTGATGCCATGGGAGGGGAGAGAGTGCGAGGGGTAACAACGGCACCAGGCAGGGAGATATCAGGGAGCAAGAGAGCACGTGTGAAGACGCTTGTCGAGACAAGTCGGGGCGATATGAAGCACACGACTTTGGCGTGGCAGCGTGCGGTGCAGTGGAGTAGAGTGCGGTGGGGTGCAGTGCAGTGCATACAAGAGGAGGAGCGGGAGGTGGCAAGGAAGTGAGAGCGCGCTTACCCGTTTCGTTGCCCAGGAGAGGCGCTTGTCAGGGATGCGGGGCATCTTGAAACACACCACCTTGGTGTGCTGCAGTGTGCACTGCAGTGGGGTGCAGTGCGGTGTGGTGCGGTGCAGTGCGGCGGTGTGCACAAGGAGAGCGTGGTGCCAAGAAGAGTGCGGCGCAAGCAATCGGGGCGTACCTGTTTCCTGGCCCAGGAGAGGCGCTTGTCAGGGATGCGGGGCATCTTGAAACACACCACCTTGGTGTGGCGGAAGTAGGAGTAGGTCTCCTCGTCCAGCGTGCCCATCATGCCCGCCTGCAACGCACGTGTCGGGGGCGGAGAGGGGAGGGGTGGGTGGGGGGTGGGGGGGAGTTGAGGGGAATGCACAGAGGCACATATGTGGATGCACGCCTGCAAGCCACCCACCTGCACACACGCAAGGAGGAATAGGTTTTCTCGTCCAATGTGCCCATCAACCCACGCACACACCCTCTCTCTCTCCACCCTCCCTCCCTCCCTCGCCTCTCACCGTCCTAAAAGCGGCGTTGTTGAGCGAGGTGCGGTCGTCCCAGATGAGCACGAGCACGCGCACGCCCTGCTTGGCCTTCTTAACGAGCAGCTCCCCCAGCGGCATGTCCCCGTGCTCCGGCATGGGGCGAGTAGCGTCGCGCATGAGCGCAATCTTGGTGCTCACGGACCAGCCGCCTATGTAGATCACCTCGCGCGCGTCCAGGATAGTCCTGAATGGTGAGGATGGTGGGAAAGAGGGTGGAGGGGGGGACAGGGGGTCGCAGAGGTGTGGAAGGGGAGAATTAAAGGGGGAACGGGGGAGATAAAGAGGTGTTGGGGAAAATCCCTTAAGTTTTCACATGTCCCTATCTTCCCCCCCATTCCTCTCTCTCCTTCCTCTCCCTCTCCCTTGACCCCCCAATCCCACCCCATCCCTTAACACCCCTGACCCCTGCTACCGACCTGCAGATATCCTCCCAGCAGTATCCCTCCTCGTACATCCTCCCTCCCATCACCCCCCAACCCGCTCCCCGTTCCCCTGAACCCCTGACTCAGCGCTGCAACCCACCTGCAGATATCCTCCCAGCAGTATCCCTCCTCGTACGTCCTCCCTCCTTCCAGCGCCGCTCGCACCGCGAACGACGAGGACACGTGGCTGTCATGGTACAGCGTCACGCGGCACCCGCGGCGCAGCGGGAAATACGCGTCTTCCACGCGCGAGTCGCGCCCCCAGCCCGCCCCGTACGCGGGGTCCTGCGCCACGGGCGCGAGGCGGAGCGAGAGGCGGATCTGCGCGGGATGCGCGGGCTGCGCGCGCCCCGACGTGGCGACGTCGAACCACGCGGAGACGGGGGTGTCCCCGCAGAGCGTGGCGGCCGGCACGATTGCCTTGCCGATCAGCTTCGCGCCCACCGCGTCGTCGTCCTGGGGGAAAAGGGGAGGCGGGGAAGGCGGGGGAGGAGGGGAGGGCGCGAGAGGGTGTCGGGGGAGGAAGAAAGGCGGGGGACGAATTAGGCGGGCACGATCGCCTTGCCGATGAGCTTCGCGCCCTCTGCGTCGTCGTCCTGGACGCGCAGCGGGAAGAACGGGAACGGGAGGGAGAGGAGGGGGGAAGGGTTGGGGGAGGGGAGAAAATCGGGGGGAGGGTTGAGAGGCTGGGGAGAAGCCGCCACTCGCATCATCGCTACTTGGGGAGAGAGCGCGTTCAAACGGCACAAGGTACGCCATGCGACACACATGCGACACACATGCGACACGTGCGACGAATACGGCGGGGTGCGTTGGGAGTCGAGACGATAGAGCGGCGGCGCACCTTGAGCGTGAAGGAGAGCGAGGAGCAGTGGTGCGCGACGGGGATGCGGAAAGTCTCCTCCCACACGGGGTGCCGCTTGTTGTGCACCACCCTGCCACGATAAGGAACGCACGCAGGGAGAGTTGACTTTTGAGTCGACTCAAAGTAAACTCGCTACAATGTCAGACGGGAACGCGGAAAGACTCCTCCCACGCGGGGTGCCGCTTGTTGTGCACCACCCTGCCACAGTGGGACGCGCACGCGCGCAAAGACGGACGGACGGCAAGAAAGAAGTAAGAAATATTCGCTCGTTTCCAAGTATTCTCAAGATGACGGATGGACGGATGGCGCACGCGAACGAGGAGGAAGCGGGGTTGGTGATGCGACAGGAGGAATACGACAGTTGTTCGGGGCAAAAAGTGGGTTTGTGGTTTTGCGGGGATAGAGGAAAGGTGGGAGGGTGAGGATGCAAACGGAATAATCTACATAACAACTACGAGTTGCTTATAAGTAATAAGACGTGTACTGCAAAAGTCGAGACGGACGAACTCGCCGAACAGGGAGACGAGGAGAGGGAGAAGGGGGGGAGGGGGGGGGGGAGAGGGGAGGGGGGGGGGGGGAGAGGGGAAGGGGGGGGGGGGGGGAAAGAAGAACAGGAGCGAGTCACGAATGGCAAGCGGACCTTGTGCGCGCTACGCGGGCGAGGCCGAGGTAAATGGCGACATAGGGGTCGTTGCGCGTGCCCTGCCACAAGGGAAAGGATAGTTGCGCGCGTGACGCACGCATGACGCACGAAAGGCAATGGACGGGGAAAGGATGATCTTTGAACGGGGTCGGTGATATTACCAGTTTTAGAAAGAACTGAACCGTACGCGTGAATATTAAAACCCGGGGTAGAATGTTCCTACAGTAAGCTGCGTTGGGGTTGTTCGCCGAAACACCCAAGACTAAGATAGTATGTATGCGGTATACCCATCTGAGCAGCTCCTTACGATTGGGTGATGTGGTCGCGACGAGCACGGCTGCGTGCAGAGGAAGAAACACCTGTCCACGTGGTACGCGATCTTATCCATAGTCGGGATGTTTCGCGCCTCGTGAACAGTAACTTCGAGAATGCCGTGCAGGAGGATGGCGTCGGTCGAGTCGTCTAGAGTCGGCGCCGCATCCTCGTCTTCAAGCGTCTCGTTTTCCTCATCGGATTCCTCAACATCACTGTAGTCCTCAAATTCCTCGTCAGTTACGCGCTTCGGGTTCTTAAGATAGTGCGGGTCTTCCGAACCCGAACGCACTTCGTGCACACGCGCCTGGAATCTCGGGTCCATGAATAAGGATGTCTTTTAACCTTTGGTAGCACTAGTGAAGCCGGAAAATGCTTCACCTCGATTACTTCCTATTGAGATATGCTTTTTATCAAGAACGGCTTGTACGCTTGAACTCGTTCCTGATGCAACGAATCAATCTCTCTATTTACTGTCACCCGGAGCAGAGTGCGACACCAAGATTGTAACTATGAAAACTCTCCACGAGAAGGACGGCACAGGCTAAAAAAAACCCGCCAAACGCTAGTAACTACGTTGGCAAATGGTATTTATCCCGCGGATTCGCGAAGCCAAGATCGTCAGAAGCAAGCCAAGCAAGAAGCTCTCGCGCTCGCTGCTCTGAATTGAACAAACACCTTTCGAACGAGCTTTGCGCTCATCGATTGAAAATTCCGTGGATGGGGGGGAAGGGAATGATAAGCGCCTGACGAGGTGCTGAGCGTGGAATGAAAATCAGCGACGTCAGCATACGTTGGCCATCAACTAGATATCCTTGTCGGCGTGACCGTCACGTGACGATACTACCACTTAGTTAAGTAGCGCTGACTGTTTTTCTCGTCCTTCTTGGCACATCTGCAAACTGTCAGTCGGAAAACATTTGCAATTTTTGCTTTGCGAGGCTCGAGGCGCGTCCTTTAGCACCATCCGACATTGGGCTGCGCGCGCATGCGAGGGGTGGGGCTGCCACGTGGAGAGATCAGAGCTGGCATGACTTCTTGTAAGAAGGGGCACCCCCGCCCAACCGGAGCCAAGCTGTAAGAAATCCCTGATACTAACAACTCCGCAACAACCGATGTTCTCTCTGCACTGAAGCAAAGAGTCTTGAATTAGGAAATAGCACTAAATAAGAATCTGCTTCCTCGGAATTTCCCTAACCCCTCGGCAACGGACCTCACATCGATTACCAAGATGCAATCTGTCGCCCAGCGAAATCACGATGATGGCCGTGCGACTCCATGCGACAGGTTGGGCGACGTGCGAGTCGACGTCTTCCCAAGTTTCCTCGTCGAAGACGCATCGAAGTTGTCGTACGAGAGATTCTTTTACGATTACATGCGACCAGGCTTTCCCGTTCTCATCCGTGGCATAGCAGACACGTGGCGTGCGTTCCGCGAATGGCGACGCGAAGACGGCGGGCCGAACCTCCCTCTCATACGAGGCGCGTTCGGAGATTCGCGAGTACAGGTGAAATCTGGCTTGAGGTCGCTCCCGGGTTTGGCGCTACGATTGTCTGGTGTAAGCAGGGCGAACAGAAGCGGGGAAAGATGGAAGAATGCCCATACTAGTGTCGTGTCGATCTTTGGCCATGAACAGGCAACCCCGTATATCCCTCGGCACCGTTCACCACCCCTCAGAACCGCCCGGCGCCGCTGACGTGTGGTGCTTGCGCGGTGCGGGGTTTTGGCGCAGGTGGCGGTGTGCGGCGAGCAGCAATTCACGGACCAGCGGCGCGTGACCATGACCGTGCGGGAGTTCGTCGCGCAGTGGGAGCGCGCCAACGCGCGGGCGGCGGAGAAAGTGGCGGAGGGGACGGGGGAGAAGGGGGCGGAGGGGGCGGCGAAGAAGGGGGCTGAGGGCGGGGAAAAGGGGGCGGGGGAAAGCGCGGGAGAAAGGGCGGATGCGGGGAGCACGCGCAGTGGTGCTGGCGGGGGCGAGGGCGAGTGCGAGAGCGGGGATGGAGAGGAAGGGCTGTTTTATCTCAAGGACTGGCACTTCACACATGTGCGTATACTAATTTCCTCCTATGCACCTGCCTCTCGTCCTCTTCCTTCCTCTTCCCAACCCTGACCCTGCCAAATTCTTCCTTCTGCTTTTCTTCCTCCAACGCATACATTCTCCACCTTCCCAATGCCTCCAGTTCCCCCCAGTCTCAAAGCCCCCCATCGCTCAATGCGTTCACCATGTCTATGTGTTCCTAACTCTACTCAGCTGCCTCACGTTGTCAAACCCCCCACCCACCACCCCTTCTCCCTCCCTATCCCGCCATATCCTTCCCTTCTCCCACACCCCATCAGGACCACCCATCATACGAGGCATACACCACGCCCACCCATCTACTTCCACGATGATTGGCTCAATTGCCATGCCTTCCTACCCCCGCTTAAAACCCCGAACCCTGAACCCTGTCAATCTCCTTCCAATTTCGATCCTTCCCCCATCAGGACCACCCATAGTACACCATAGTACATTGCGTACACCACGCCCATCACCTTCCTCTATTGTGGCTGCTCAAATGTTTCTCACTTCGACCCCCCAACAACTCTTGCATGCCATCAGGACCACCCATCATACGGTGCGTACACCACGCCCGTCTACTTCCATGACGATTGGCTCAACTGCCGTCCCTTCCTACCCCCACTTAAAACCCCTAACCTCAACCCCAAACCCTGAACCCTGTCAGTCTCCATCCAATTCCCCCCCCACCATCAGGACTACCCATCATACGGTGCGTACACCACGCCCGTCTACTTCCATGACGATTGGCTCAATTGCCGTCCCTTCCTACCCCCACTTAAAACCCCTTACCCAAACCCTGAACCCTGTTAGTCTCCTTCCAATTTCCATCCTCCCCCCACCAGGACCACCCATCATACGAGGCATACACTACGCCCGTCTACTTCCACGACGATTGGCTCAACTGCCATGCCGACGCCCTCGCCTGCTCCTGCCCCCACTGCTCCCCCGCTGACGCCGCCGCGCCTCCTGCTCCTGCTGCTGATGCTTCCGCCACAGCCGCTGCCCTGGATTCTCCTGCTACTCCGGCTACCCCTGCTACCCTTGCTGCCCCTGCTGCTACCACTGCTGCCCCTGCTGCTGCCCCTGCTGCTGCCCCTGCTGCTGGTGCCAGCACGCCCGGCAGTGCCTCAGACCCGAACGGCTGTGACTCGGGCGCAGAGCCGAGAGGCGCAGAGGGGAACAATCAGGCTTCTGGGGACGCTGGTGGCTCTGCCTGCTGCTGCTCTGACTACCGCTTTGTGTACATGGGTCGAGCTGGTGAGCTTGGCTTGGTTTCCTGCCATGCCGTGTTGTGCCATGCCATGCCATGCCATGCCATGCCATGCCATGCCATGCAATGCCGTACCATGTCATGCCATGACCTGCATTGTCATGCCATGTGATCCTCCTCGCTACAAGTTTACATGTCAGGAGATTCCAAGCAATGCCGCTCCTGTGTCAAAATCTCCCCTTGCAGACTGAGTAATTTTTCTTTCGACTACCAAAGCATTCGCACAGCTGTGAATGGGACACAGAATGTCAACGTGTGTGGGCACACAGCTAATCGCAGCTGTGAGAGGCCGTGTCGGCCGTGTCACCCCCGTGTCCCTCCTCCCACATCCCCCCCTCTCCTCCCTGCTCCCCACCAGGCACGTGGACGCCTCTCCACACGGACGTGCTGCGCTCCTACAGCTGGAGCGTCAATGTGTGCGGGCGCAAGCGCTGGCTGTTCCTGGAACCGGGCCAGGCTCACTGCGTGCGCCACAAGCACACGCATGCCACCGTCTATGACATCGACTCCCCCGTTGACCCTAAATTTTTTCCTGACTTCCACAAGGTGAGTGTTCTTCACACGCTTGTGATTCTGCTAGGGTGTAAGCGGGCCGGACGTCCTGTGTGCGGCACAAGCACACGCATGCCGCCGTCTACGACATCAACTCCCCCGTGGACGATTTTTGAGGCGCCTCAAAAGTCCCCCGTGGACGCCGATCTCTTTCCCGACTTCCACAAGGTGAGTTTTCTTCACACGCTTGCAATAGTGCAAGGGTGTAAGCGGGTTGGGTGAGGTGAGCTGTTTGTGTGCGGCACAAGCACACGTGCACCACGGTCCATGCCATCAACTCCCCCATGGACACCGGACTCTTTCCTGACTTTCCCAAGGTGAGTGCCACGTTTCCCCACCCATGCACCCACACACCCGCTTGCGTGCGTGTGTGCGCACGGGTTCATGCGAGCACACAGCCACACAAGCACCACACTCCCACACTCTCACATTCCTGCACTCCCACACTCTCTCACTCCCACACCCTCTCACTCCCACACTCCCTCACTCCATCACACGCACCTCCTCTACTCGTCTACCTCCCTTCCCCCCTCCCACCGCACCAGGCGCGCTGGTTCATGGTGGAGCAAGGAGCGGGGGACGCCATATTTGTCCCCAGCAACTGGTTACATCAAGTCACCAACCTGGTGAGAATTCTCATTACTGGTCAGTGCTTGCACCAACTATATCAGCCCACCTCCCTTTCCTCCTCTCGCCCTTGTCCCTTGTCCCCTTTCATCATCAACACCTCGTGCTCCTCCGATTCCTTCATCACCCCTTGCCTCCCTTCATCCACCTACTTCTCGCCCCTCTTTGTTCCTTATTTCCTCGTCTTTCTTCACTCCTCTCCACCCCTCCTCATCCCCAAGGTTCCCAAATATGGTTTCTGTAAACACGGTCCGATTTTTTGCAGACGTTTTCAACAGCAATAAAAATGAAATAATAATACTAATACTAATAATAATAATAATAATAATAATAATAATAATAATAATAAATAAATAAATAAATAAATAAATAAATAAATAAATACATAATAATAATAAAAGGCCGTTTTCTTTTGTAAAGGACCATGCTTACCAAAAAAGAGAGGGTAATAACAAGGTCAGTGCATTTTTTTAATCATAATTACAAATACACACATGGAAGAAAGGGTCCATCCTCTTCCTTTATCCTTATTATTGCCATCAATCTGGTCCCATCAACAGCCGTTTATCTAATCAAACAAAAATCACCTCCTGGAACCGATATAGGCTGTTTTAAAGGGCGGAATTTTACGATACCGTTTCTTTATGGCAACTGGTAAAAAAACCTGCTGTTTGCCCTTCTCATCCCTCTCCGCCCTCTTAACCCCTACTATCCTGAAACTTCAAAATTTCCTGCGCATGTGCAGTCTCGCAAACCCAATAACGCAGTCCCCAGTTCCCAACACCCAGTTTCCTTACTGACTCTCACAATGTGTATTGCTCCTCACCTCCCATTCTTCCCCCTCCTCCTCATTCTAAGCTTCCTACTTCTCCTGTTCCTTCGCACATTTCTCTTCTCCTTCCCTCTCCACTCTCTCCCTTCCTACTTCTCCTGTTCCTTCCCACTTTCCTCTTCTTCTTCCCTCTCCTTTCTCTCCCTCCCTACTTCTCCTGTTCCTTCCCTTTCCCTTCCCTTTTTTGCCCCTTACTCCTCTGTGTCCCCCCACTCATGCTCTGGCTGCTGCTTTGCAGGAGGACACCATTTCCATCAACCACAACTGGATCAATGCTACTAACCTCATGCGCGCTGTATGACACCCTTATGCATCGCACACACAGTATATCCACACTCTCACACTCACACATACAGGCATGCACGTACGCATGCACATATGCACACGCTCAAAAGGCTCATTCGCTTTCTAGGCATACCTGCAGCACTATACGCATGTCCGTACTGCACCTCACCCGCCTGTGAGCTACCACTGTTTCGACCATCTGAATCGTCTCAACCACCTGTGAGCTACCACTCTTTCAACTCTCGGCTATGTGCAAGTTAGTCAGCACTTGTTCTCCTGTTTCCGTGAATTTACCCCCAAGCACTGTTGCGGCCTGATAGTATCTGGTCGTTGGGGAGTGGTGGTTCCGGTGAACTGTATTGTCTCGCTCCTGCACGGAACCACCACACTCTTATCACCTTGTACCAGCACTCACACTCACACTTCACCACAACCCACCCTGCACCAGCAGTCACTGCAGCAGGAAGAGGAGGAGGCAGCGGTTTAAGAATCGTCAGCAACCCATCCCTACCCATCCCTACCCACCCTATCCCCACCCACCCACTCCACGCCACCGCAAACCCCCCTGCAGTGGCGTCTGTTGAAGGAGGACGAGCAGGAGGCGCGAGAAGCGATCTGCGACGTAGAGGAGATGGTGAAGAGGGGGCTGATGACAGAGAGGGAGTTCCAGCAGCTTGTGCAACGCAACCTCATGGCCAACTCAGGTGTGTGCCAGATGGAGGATGATAAATGGGATGGGTGTGGTGTGGGCGCATGGGGCGTGGTGTGGGCACATGGGGCGTGGTGTGGGCACATGGGGTGTGGTGTGGGCGCATGTGCATGCTTGTGCGTAAATGTGGATGTATCCACAAGTATGCACAAGTACACACAAGTAGCCATGTGTGTTGGCGGATTTTCCGTAGCTCCTTATTTGCTCAGTGCCTCCACAAACTTCTCTTGCATCGCTCCCCCGTGCACTCCTCCTCTCGCCTCCAGGAATTAACAACTTTTCCTTCCTCTCTTTCTACTCCTTCACCGTTCGAGCCATGTGCACCACACCGCAGTACGCGAAGCATGGCAAATACCCCATTGCACATGGCAATGCATGGGTATTCGCCATTCAGCCGCACTACTCCATGCATTCCTCTCCACTGCATGCCCCTTCCCTCCGCACCAGGGATGAACTACTCTTCCCTCCTCTAGTTCTGCTCCTTCGCCGTCCGAGCCATGCGCACTACAAGACACTGCAAGAAGCACGGCGAAACCCCCCTAACTCCTTGCAGCCCTCCCCTTTGCATCCCTTCTCCCCCCACCAGGGATGAACTACACCTCCTTCCTCTCTTTCTGCTCTTTCTTCGCCGTCCGAGCCATGCGCACCGTGCTGCAGGAAGCCTGGCGATCGGAGAAGGAGCACCAGGTGATAGACGCAGGAGAGGCGCAGCCGAAAGAGTTTGAAGCCCCGCCCCGAAGGACAAGAGGCATGGGATTGTTCGAGGAGAAGGAGGAGAGGGGATTGAATGTGGTGCTGAGAAGGGGGTTGAGGAGCAGTAGGGGAGGGAGCGGTGGGGAGGCGCAGCAGGGGAATCTGCAGCGGAGTTTGCAAGGGGGTTTGCCGGTGTTGCTCCAGGCGAAATATGACCTGTATGAGATTGCGACTGTTCTGGATGATATGGTTCTCACCAAGTGGTATCAGCAGGGGCTGTGGCGGAGGAATGCCGAGGGAGGTACGGAGGGAAGGGGCTCTGATAAGGGAGAGGGGGAAGAGAAGGGAGAGAAGGACGGGGGGAAGAGAGAGGAGGATGAGAGGGGTCTGAAGAAGGGAAAGGAAGAGAGAGGGGATGTGGAAGGAGAGGAGCTAGGTGATGTGAGTCTCCTTACCGGCTTCTGCCCTATATGCACCACAACATGCAATCGACTGGTCAAGCGATACAAGGATTACATTACCGGATCGGACAGTAAGAGAATGATGACTTCTAGGCTGTATCGGGTGCTGGGAATGATCCTGATTGATGTGGCTAGTCACGAGGAGCCAGGATCGGGGCAGTGCAAGTGTCAGGAGGAGTGTGGGTGTGAGAAAAGTTACTGCTTGAAGGTAGGAGAGGAGATGGCAAAGTTGGGTCCGTTGAGGCTTGCCATGTTTTGTAGGATAATAGGAGAGCCATTTGATGGTGGTGATAATTTGTCTTATGGATGGAAGTAGAGTGCAGTATTGTGTAGGTATCAAGTTAAAATGCACAAATGTTACAAACAAGTGAACGGGGCATGACGCGATTCTTAAACGGGTGAAAAATACTAAACAAACATATGGCATATCATACGTCCATAGTAATTTTGTACTCACGTTGGCTTTTTTTAACCTATTTATCAAGATTCAGAATTCGACTAAAATAATGGTAGGGAACTATAAAGGAATGCTAAATTAGACACAAGACACAAAAGGAGCCAAGATTTTTTATCAATCAGACTAGGAATATGAAGATGCGCTAGAAATGCTTGCAATATTTGAAGGAGACGTACACGTAGCGAATTCTTTCTTCACGCAATGGGGGGTACAAATACCACATGTTGCGGGTTCTGGTGGGTTGGGCTGGGTTGGGTGTGTTTTGAGAGTTGCCCATTACAAAAGCAATCCCACTTGGACTCGCAGCGCCAATGCGGTGGCGGGAAAGGGGAGGTGATCAAACTGGCTCGGCGGAGAAAACCTCCAAAGTTTTGCGCGCCAATTCGACTCTTCTTTAGCGGTTGGGGGAATTCACCTTTCATGCTCGAACTTATTTCTTTCCCTCGGCATGGTCAACGCCGCCCCCATCGAAGGTGCCAGCAAAATGCTGATGTGAAGTCCCGCAATGCGGCTCAATTTCTCTCGTCGACATTTCACATTTCATTTCCCTTGGCTTCCACACGCGGAGGGGGAGTCGAGCCGACACGGGAAAATAGCAGCTGTCAGAAAGAAAGACACAGCCGCACCCAACCGAAAGAATCACACACAAGCGATACACAAGACGAGGCCTCTTCAATCAAGCATCGTGCAGCCGCAAGTGCAAGGAGACGACGGCGGGGGCACGGAACATGTGATGTTGGCTGCCCCCCCCCCCAAAAGCAGCTCAGTCATTTCGCACGCAGCAAGCAGCTCAAATATCCGCGTTGCTGATGCGCGCGTCCCAGCAATCTTGGCATCGTTTCGCATGTGAAGCTGAGAAGCCCTTGGGTCTGTGTGAGGTCCACAATCAACCCTTGACTCGAGGCCAGCGCGCCGTTACACAACCGTGGCGCGTGAGCGACCGCGAGCGATTGCAAGCGATGCCGAGGGACAACCATCATCAGGTCGCACGCTAAAGAATACATTGCCTTCGCCCCAGATAGCCCTAAATAGTAAATCGACAGGAGGGCTGACGCGAGAACGAAGCACACGCTTCTAGTCGTTTTTCCATGCGGTACGACAGCGCGGCCGATATTTCACCCTGGTAGCGCCAGCGCGAAGACAATCACGGGCGGTGGTGATGACACATCAATGCGAATGATATGCAATCGAGGAACGCTTATCAGCGTCGCCGCATGTGCCGTCCCATGCATCTACTATCGGCTCTCGTCTACCTTCCTCCTCCATTTCTAGAAGCTGCCTCCTCGAAAATTAGTCCTGCATTTAGCTATCCTCGAAAATCGTTCCGTTTCAAGTGCGACCGAGTGACGCCTTGTCTTTACAATACAATACGGTTCCAGAAGCAGTCATAGCCACCGTCCCTTACAATCCTGTTTTGCGTCGGCGGCCAGTTCGGCGCCTCCTTACCTGAACCGCGGAGAAAAACACTTCTCCTACTTCCCCCTCCCGCCCCCTCGACGTTCTTCGTCGGCCACTTTGACAGTCAGCGAGTGCACCTTTCATTGCGTATGAAACGCCCGGGGGTGTAGTCAAAGGACGTGCTATCACAGTCTCGCGTTTCACGTTAGCTGTTTTCTCTTGCGCTTCTCGCGCTCCTTCGAGTGACCTCCACGTCTACCTTCTCGATACAATCCAGTCTGTTACTATTTCAAATTACACGTCTTTTGAGGCGCCTAAAACATATTCAGAACATTAGATTGCCAGAATATCAAAGCCTCAAATCGACCTCCTGGTACTGGCTATCGACCCCTACCTCTTTCCTCTTCGTCCCTCCTCCATCGACCTCGTGATTGAACGTAAAAGAGTCCCGGTAGGCTCACGCGAGCACCGTACGAAACCCAAGAGTATCCTTTCCAGTAGAGAAGAATCGTCGGGCGCGCACGGGTCGGAGGAGTAGCCCGGTAAAGTTTTGAAACGAAGATTCAGGTTCGCGTTGGAAGGGACGATGCTGCACGAAGGCATGCGTGACGTGCGGTGGATGGTGTGGTGCCTCCAGCGGGCATCCCCGCGTAAGTTCGTTCCCACAGGAGCAACCATACCCACATATTCATCATCGTCGCATCATGCGTTTCTTCCGCTCCTATTCCTCTGCTCCTTCCTCCTCCTCTGCGCGCATCCCGCGCACGCAGCGGCATCGGGAGCAGCTGCTCTTCCCCCTCCCACTCCCACCAAGTGCGACATGTCCGTGGGCGAGTGGCGGTACTCGAAGAGCTACCCGCGTTACGTCACCTGCCCGTACGTACGCTCCATATTCAACTGCCGCGGCAACGGTCGCAAGGACCAGCTGTATGAGAAGCAGCGGTGGGTGCCGGACAAGTGCAGTCTGCCTCGGTTCAGCGCCAAGGCGTTTTTGGCCATGATGCGGGGAAAGACGGTGGGGTTTGTCGGGGACTCGCTTATGAGCAACATGTGGGAGAGCTTCGTGTGCCTGCTGTACGCTAGTGGCGTCAATCTCAAGGTGAGTGAGACCAGGGGTACGGGAACTAGTAGTAGGACACACCAGGAAGGATTTGGTCTTATATTTCCTCGTTGCTTCCTCAGCCTGCACCGTGGTACATGGTTAATCAATGAATGGAAGCTGGCTCGATAAAATCATGCCCAAGGTCTATAGCGCCCCGTAGACAGAACTCAAACCCACTCTTTTACTGCGTCCATTCCCTTTCTGTCCTTGTTTCAGCTGGTCCAAAAGCGTTACGGTGGCTACCGTTACGTGGGGTTTTATATTCCGACATCCAACACCACAATAGTGTACCGCTTCTCAGCGTACCTTATGCAGGCAGTTACCAATTCCACAGGCGGGCGAGGCAAACATGGTTACAACGTTGATCTGGATGTGATCGACCCTGCGCTAATGGGAGGTGTCACTAACATGGATGTTATTGTGCTAACAAGTGGCACATGGTGGCAGGCGAATGTGCCTGGGAGGGTACAGTCAAACGTGTATAGGATCAAGGGACAGCAGGTGTACCTCAAGGACCTAAATGCGCACAAATATTCGCTCAACGTTCTGCGGAACTACCTCGGACAATTTAGGTGAGTGTAGCTGCCTGCCTGCCTGCTGGTGACGTTTTCTTGCAAAAGGCACTGCTGGTATATATGAATCCCCCGCGTCTTTTTTTCCTGTGCAGCTCAAGGCTTCTGCCATACTTCATATCATTGTCGCCCTCTCATAAGTGGGACCAGTCTTACGCATCGAAGCCAGGAGTTTGTGGTTCGGACCGTCCGTTAACCCCCACTGCAGCTGCCACTGTCCTTGGCAACTCAACCACCACACTCGACTACGTATCGGCCCAAAGAGCAGCATTCTCGTCCCCCAATCCCGTCCGCTTTATAGACGTTACTGCCATCTCTACAGCTCGACCAGACGGCCACACGGGAGTATGGGGGGTGCTAGGAGGTGGAGGGACGCTTGCTGATGGGGAAGCTGATGATACTAAGAGCAGCAGCGCAACAATGCCTGGAGCGAATGGAACAGCTATGGGGAAGCCTAGAACGACTACACTATCGCAACCCGACTGCAGGCACTGGTGCTTACCAGGGGTTCCTGATTCATGGGTGGATGTCACTGCAGCTGTATGGCAGAGAGAGCCGTCTTTGCTACGGAAGTAAGAAACAGAAAGATTCAATCAAGATGCCCAATGCTTGGTAAAATTGAGCGTGCACTTTTGTGAAGTAGGTATCACAAAATAATGTCCTTGAGAGGAACACTGTTAGTACCTATCACCACCCCACATAATTGATATAACCAACTATTTCATCGCTACTCCAGGCAATCTACAGCTAGCACTTTTAGTGCTTTACTGTACTTGGTTTCCGTCAAGTGGAAACTCTGCCCTTCCTCCAACCTCCCAGTGACGGTAATCAAATTCCTCCACCTGTGACCCCAATCGATCATGTCTTCTTGAGAGATGGCTCAAGGGCAGAAATGACCCACGCATGCAAAGCTTTGGCTGGCTTGCTGCAAGATGTGACTCTCTCAATTCCAGGAAGGGTGGCCCTGACAACTCTCACAGTGCTAGCATCTGGAGGCTGACCTCGGAACTTCGCTTCTGCCTCCTTTAAACAATAGTAGATGCTTGATATCTTGTGCTGCTGGTTCGTGGATGCAGTGATGAGCCGCTTCTGGATGTCCCTCCACACAGCCTTCGTCTTCATGCTTGAGTCATATGAAGCATCACGGAATCCTGTAAAAGATCACAAAGAGTAGTTGTCACATCAAGAAGAATCACAACAAGATGCATGAGAGATAGGATATTGCATTGTTACCAATAAGAGTGAGCACGGCTGACCAAAGCTTCACAATGTCTTCAGGAGGCACATTCTTGTACACTGACAGCTCAGCAACGACCACCCTGCTCAGACTTTGGAAAGATGATGCTGGCTGCTTGCACTCCTGGCCTTCTCGGGCATCGTTTCCACCTGATGCCACGGTTGCCTTGTCATTGCCTGATGAACGGGCCGAGGCCTTTTCAAGGACTTTCCCTGAGGTTGATGATCGCCTAGTTGAAGACTCGGAATGAAGCAAATCATTACTTGCAGTTGATGCCTTCTCCCGATTGATCTCTACTGCAGCTGCTTCCTGATGTCCATCCACCCAGCTTCCTGTGTCCGTGGTTACGCCTGCAGAGCTCATCATGTCAATGCTGTCGCCTGATACAGATTCAGGCGAGAAGCACGGAGAAAACTTATGAGCTAGATTCTGCGACGCTAGCCCATGACGTGTCAATTCCGCCTTGGTGGATACCTGGTCATAGACGCTGGTACTGAGGGACCGAATCAAGTTCGATGGCTGCATATCTTGTTCGTAACCCCTTGACTCCTTCTCCCAGTTATGCATCCTTGTGCCACGATCCATGTAAGCAGATGAAGCTGTCATCCTGGCTGGATACGAAGAATGGAACTCCGAGCTCGTGTTTCTCTCCTCATTGAAGTTAAAACGGTGCTTCGCAGAAGGTTGAAATCGGGTCGCGTTGCCCATTGAAACACTTTCGACTTCGTTGACTCGGGGAAGATGGTTGGTGTAGTAGGGCTTCGGATTTGTTGGCTTATACATGTATGGAGACTGCACTGAATAATGATGATCAGGTTCTCCATGCTTCTCCCTCGTCCAGGCAGGTGAGGTACGCGGGTCTAGTGATGCCGAAGTTGCCGTGTATGCTCTGGGTAAGCTGGAAAACGTGGAACGAGAAGAAGGGGACATTATCGGCGACGACGGTCTATCAGTAGGAGATGCCGATTTTCCACGTGAAATGACGCCACATATCCTCTGAGTCAAGAGAAAATTACAAGAATACATCAAAACCGAGACGGAAAAATAGAATGACGATTTGTCAAATAGAAATTCCGCCTTACCATCGCCATGTCCCTCTCTGCTGAAACCTTGGCGAGCTGTTCCTGGTATCGTCTACATTCTAGCCTTTCACGGTGAAGTTGATCTAGAAGACGCTGCTTCTCCGCCCTTTCTTCCTCTAGCTGCCTGCATAACCATTGTACGGCTTGGTCAGACATGGTAATCTGAACATCGGAAGCGTTTAGCTCCGTTTCCTCCAAAACCCGAGAGCTCAAGGATCCCCTCTCGTCGTATTGTTTCTCCCCTTGCTTAGGAGTAGCTCGGGACGATGGAAGAGGAAGATCCATGAAGAGCTCGAGATTGTGGTCTGAGACTCAGCTAGGAAGTTTCATTCCTAGAGACTGTCGCCGCCACTGACAACCACCACCGAAATTTGGGTTGCCTGACTTCTTCAGAAAGCGGCGCCGAAAACTCCATGCAGAGACTCGAGCGATTGTACTCGGTTGCAACACATTCAGGACGATACACAGCATTACGAATGTAGATGTTGATTTGCTGTTAGTGTCAAAATTACTTCAATAATGCTAGTTCTGAGTATTAATTTTAGGTAACTTCAATTTCAGAACTTTGGTATATATTGAAATAATTTATACTTAAATAATTACACAATGCTGGAAATTTGAGGGAACTAATTATTTGGACTATGTAGGATAAGGGGGGACACATCAATATATGCGTAATGCATTGTTTTATACAGTAGGCTCGACCTACTGAGATTGATCGCTATGTGCGGCCCTGGGAGAATTGCTCTTTATCGGACTACATGGTTCCTGAATAATTCGCAGCACTGGCGTCTCGTCACGGAGCGTCACTGGTGCTGGACGAAGAACCGTCACTATGGATGATGCTGGATTGCCGGTCGTCAGAAGCGTTGAATCGGTGATGCACTCAGAAGAGTTGAACCCTCTCACATTACCTTTGAATTATCCTCCACTCGCTGTTCTCGTGGACTCACCAGCAGCAGCAAGCCTCGGCTACCGGGATCACGAAGTATGCGCTGCGAGGTACTATTGGCGCGAGCGACCGCTTCCGATGCCACGTGGCGAGACCGACTCCATAAGCCGTTTAACCGAACCGATTGCCGATGATTCATGGGCAAATTCTACAACGAGTTTCATGGGGATTACGGATGCTTTGGCTCAGACCTGGGTGGATCGGCCAGGGGAAGGTTCCGCGGGTATGGGGGAAGAGGCAGGAGGGGAATCGGAAGTTTGGAAGGAATTGGCGGAGAGTGGATTAGCTGCGGAGAGAGGAGAGGATGAAGCGAGGATGGGGGAGAGATTGACCAGTGAGACAGCGACGGGGAGGGAATTGCTGGGAAACGGGAGGGTTTCAGGTGGAGAGGATGGGTTGAAACGAGAAGGGGGTGTGAAAAAGGGAGGAGGGGGAAGCGAAGAGGAGTTGGAGAGGAAGAGGCGGATGAGAGAGAAGAAGCGGCGGCGGGTCCAGGAGAAGAAGGAGAAAGCACGGCAGGAACGTGTGTTGGGGGAGACCGAGGCTGCAGCCGAGGCTCGGCATCAGGTGCGGAAACAGGGGTAAAAGAGCCACGTTTGTGTAATCATCATGGTAGGGAACAGTAGGGAAAAGGTGTATGGCCTCCAAGCTAGTATGTAACAGTCAGAATGATGAAGACTTTCCGGGTGCTGCTGAGAGCATTCTCTCTCTGTGAGGAAAGAAATGAAGCCGTTTGTTGAAGGTTCGTGAAAAATCTCAAGAATCCTCCCCTTCTCCCCTCCCCCTTCCCCCTCCCCCTTCTCTCCCCCTTCTCCCCTTCTCCAATCCCCCTTCCCTCCCTCCCTTTTTCCCTCCTTCTCCCCTCCCCCTTCTCCCCTCCCCCTTCTCCCCTCCCCCTTCTCCCCTCCCCTTCTCCCCCTTCTCCCTCTTCTCCCCTCCCTCAGGCTATTGAAGGGCTCCTCTCAGCAGCGTTTTCCGCCCTTTGTACTCGCTTAAAGCCGCCTCAAGATGTGTCTTGTTGCTCACAGCGGGTCCTCTCTGAGGGAGCTCAAGAGTTCGCCCTGGCACGAGATGCGCCGTTGCCTGGGAGATGTGAGACGGAGGAGCAGAGCACAGCAGCAGTAGAAGCACCAGCAGCAGCAATAAGGGCAACAGTAGCGACACCAGCGGCAGCAGCAGTAGACTTGGTTGCTCTCGGGGATTGCTGGCAATCCAAGCTGTGTGAAATCACTCTCTCTCTCCCTCCCACCACTCCTCCCAACTCCCTCGCTCCAACACCTAACAACCCAGTCATCCCTCCCTGCAACACCCACGCTTCCCACCCCTCATATAACCCATGCACCCTACCCAACCCATCCAAACCACTCACTCCACCCACTCCATCTGCCTCATCTGCCCCGTCTGCCCCATCCGCCCGTTCCGTCACCTGGTGGCGAATCCATCTGCGTGCCATGATGCCATAGCGCGATTGCACCTTGGACTGCAGGAGGCTGGGGATGATGCTCGCTTCATCTTGCCTCCACAGTCCCGGTTCCTCATTGTAAGGAGAGGTGTTTTCCTGCTTGTGGAGCAAGGAGATGCTGTTGTGGTAACCAGAGCCAAGTAACCAGCTGAGAAGTTGTGGTGCTCTTCGTATTACCCTTTAAATACTGCTTCAGCTTTTCAGCTTACCCCAGTTCTGTCAACCCATTGGCTCCTCTGTCATTTTTCTCACCTCTCATAGTCTCTGTCTCCCTCCACCCTCCACCCTCCACCCTCCACCCTCCAACCACCCACCCACTCACCCACCCATTTATTTCCATCCACCAGTCCACTGCTTCTGAGCTGCAGCAGCTTCTTCCGTCCCTGCTGCTGCCACAACCAACCCCATTATCACCGTCAGTATCAACCCCACCAGCACCCTCACCACACCCGCCACCATCACTATCACCATCATCACCCCCACAATCCCACAGCTCAGACCAGCCACATTCACAATCACAACCCCAATCGCAGCCGCACCCTCACTCCCACAACCCTCAACCTGCATCCCTCCCACCACAAAACCACCACCCAGCAAACTCTCCCCCCGCCCACCACCACCGATCTGCACCACCCGCACACACCCCCCACCACGGATACCACCTTATCCTCATAGATCCCCCATGGGAGAACAAGAGTGTAGCACGAACCAAGTCGTATGGCACCCTCCCCAGTCGCCACCTCCTCTCCCTCCCTGTTCCTCGCCTCGCGTCGAGGGAACATGGCGCATTGGTGGCTCTATGGGTGACCAATAGGGAGAGGCTGAGAAAGTTTGTGGAAAGAGAGCTGCTGCCCGCGTGGGGCGCGCGGCACGTGGCAACATGGTATTGGCTGAAGGTGAGGAGTTGATCGTGACCTGTTGTTGCAGTTCTTGTTTCTGCTTGTTTTAGCTCTTTGTTTCTTTGTTTTTTCTTTTCTTTTCTCTCAAGGTATTGATATCTCTCTCTCCCTCACTCCCCACTCCCCATTGTCCCCCTCTCTCCAGCTCGCCTCACTCTCTCCTCCCTCCCTCGTCTCCCCCCTCGCCTGCTCGCATCACCGCCCGTACGAAGTGCTGCTGCTGGCCCTCATCCCTCCCAATACCAACGATCCACAGCGGGTCTCCACCCCAAAGGCTGGTGTTTTCCTTAGGGCTCCCCAAGGGGAGGAGTTGCCAGAGCAGCGAGAGTGTGGCGATGTGGTGGGGTTAGACGTGGGGATGGGGGAGGGGGACGGGAGGAGAGAGGGGGAGGGGAGGAAGGGACGGGAGGGGAGGTGGGAGGTGAGGAGAGACAGGAGGGAGAAGGTGGGGGATGAGACAGGAGGGATGGAATGGGGGGTTGGGCAGGAAAGGGAAGGGGAGAGAGGGGGTTCGGGAGAGATGGAGAGGGAAGGGCTAAGGGGAAGGGAGAGTGCGGGTGACGAAAGTCTCGGTAAGGGTGGAGATGGAAGGGAATGGAGGAGGGAGAATGGAAGGGGGATGCTGTGGTTCTGCCCTGGTTCTGCTGTTGATGCATGTGTGGATGCAGCACAAGGGAGGGGCGGGGGATTTGGCGAGGGAGGGAGTGGAAGAGGAAGGGAATGCGGAGAGAAGGGAGGTACAGGGAAGCAACGGCAAGGGGGCTCTGTAGATGGGGTTATGTATGGCGGTGCGGGTGCCGGTCATACAGATACAGATATGAACTTGGGCACATGCCTGGGTGTGGATGAGGGCATGGGCATGGGCACGGGTGCTAGCGGGGTCACTATGCCCAGTAGTAGTGGGGAATCAGAGTTGGTGCGGCAGACACTACCACATGGTCTCGTTCTGCTCAGTGTGCCAGGAGAGCATTCCAGGAAGGTTCCTCTGAGAGGTGAGGCACTGTCGCTAGCAGCAGTCAGTAACTGCTGACTCTGCTTCACATGCAGCCTGGGATGATACTCTTTTGAGTCGACTCAAATGTCATGTGACCTCTGGGATAATACTCTTCCGTTGTTGTGTAGAAGCACCTACAGAATCTCTGTTGTTCGTGTCCCTAAGTCTGATAGGGCACCTTTGTTTCTGCTTGCTGCTCTCCCTTTCACACCCCTCCTTTCCATGTTTTGCCCGTTCCCCGCGGGTTTTCTTGTTGTCGTTTTCATAAGGGGTCTTGGAAACTTCTTTGTTTTTGTTTTGTTTTTTTTTTTTTCATTGCGATCTCTTGTGTTTCCCTTCACTTATATGGTACATATATTCGTGCTAGTATTTAGTCCCTTCTTCCCTTCTTTCATAAGAACCAAAACATCGAATTGATGGAAAATACTTTCCTCTCTCTGCCTACTCGTTTGCTGCACCCCAATTGTGTCATCCCCAGGGATGCTTGTTGCTGTCACTGCATCCCTTTTCAACCTCTCCTCACCGCACCAAACCACGCTTCCTGCTGCACTTGTCTCTCATGCACACACTCTACGGTATTCCAGACCAAGTCCTGGCCGCTGTGATGGTGCGGAGGAAAAGGAGGAGGGGGAGGAGAGGAAGGAGAGGGAAGAGAGGAGAGATAGGGAGGAGAGGGAGGAGAGGGAAGATGAGAGCGAGGAGGAGGAGGTGGTGGAGGAAGCGGGGAAGAAAGGTGGCAGCACAAGGGAGGAGAGGAGGGAGGAGGTTAGGGCAGTGGAGCTGTTTGCACGAGACTTGGAGGCAGGGTGGACGTCGTGGGGTAACGAGCCGCTTCGATTCCAGCACCACCAATACTTCCATGCACACGTGTAGGGTGATCCTTTGGTACAAGTTGTGTTGTGGGATAACGAGCCCCTTCGGTTCCAGCTTCGCCGATACTTCCATGCACGTGTGTGACGTGATATTGCTTTTTTCTTGGCATACTTTGAACATGCAAAAGTCCCCGTTTGGTTTCAGCACCACGAGTGCTATTATGCAATGTGTGAAATAAGCCTGTGTCAGAAGATAGTGAGGAAAGCTGTAGAAAGTATGTCCTGGTGCAATTGAATGCATTTCTAGATTCCGTAAAGCAGCATTTTACGTACATATAAGCTCACAATGCCTTCTGATTGTATGCTGCTGAGTACCAAATGATACATGGATAGCCATAATACTATGTGCAAAACATGGCCTGTACTCATAACTTACTGCACTTCAGGTTGTATTGACTGAATTCATAAAGCTCTCACACAGCGGAACGGTGTTGAAGGGACTTCAGCAGGCAAGGCAAGCCTTGAGCGAGCCACGATGCAACTGACGTCCCTGGTGACGGCACACGTGTGGAGAGCAAGCCGGCCCGGCAGCTGCCAAGTCACAGCTGCGTGTAACCAACCACTTTTGAGTCGACTCAGAAGAGCCTCCCAAATAGCCGGCGGCTGCACGGGCTGCGACTGCGTATAACCAACTAGCGATTCCCCCGCGGCCGCACACGAGTTAGCTTGGGCCGCAGTGTCATGAGCAGGAGTGGAGTCGGAGCCTCCTAAGGTTTCAGGGTGCAGGGATGAGGAGCTGCCGGATCTGAAGCAGCAGGTTGACTGGTACTGCTTGCTTCTGCTGACGCGGATCGAGGCGACGCAGGGGAGAGAGAAGAGTTGTCGTTGTAGCCTGATGGGTATGGAATGTAATGGTGTGTGGATACCCCAATGCATTGGGAAGGAGGGGTGTGCATGGGAGGGGTGCGCAAGGGGGGGGGAGTGGGGGGTGATTGATGCATGTAATGGAACTAACATGCCTTGAGTCTTGAGGCGTTGCAGAACCTGCATATGGGGGGATATGTGCTTTGTGAGTCAGTCGAAAGAATCAAGCTGGGGGAGTGCATATGCAAGTGTGAAGGAGAGGGCATGGATGGGAAGTGAGGAGGGAGAGGAAAAGGTGCGGATGAAGGGAGGAGGAAATAGGAGAGACCGAGACTGAGAAAGGGAGAGAGGGAGGTAAAGACCAGGAAGCTGGCCAAGGGAAGAGAGAGAGAGAAAAATAAAGACAGCAAACAGCAAGCATGAAAGAACAACCAGGGAAGGGATGCTTTTGAGTCGACTCAAAAGGGATGCGGGCACCCTCATCCTCTTTTATCCTCATCTTCCTCGTTCCCTAACCCGCATCATCCCCAGCTGCACCATCCCAACCAGCATCATCGTCCCCCCTTACCATCATCATCCCTCCTTACCATCATCGTCCCCCCTTACCATCATCATCCTCCTCATCATCAGAGAATTCTGAGTCCGTGTCAAAGTATCCCACCTCATCCCCTTCCGCCCACTCCTTCCCCTTCCACCACCGCTCGCCCCTTTCCTCCCCGCCACTCCCCCCCCCTCTCCCCTCCCCTCTCCCCTCACTCCTCTGCTCCTCCTCACTAACCCCATACACCATCACAGGCCCCCTCCTCCTCCCACCCCCTCCTCTCCCCTCCCCACACCTCCCTCCATCCCTCCCCTCACCCGTCCCTCCTCCCTCCCTTCCTCTCCTCCTCCCCTCCTCGCCCCCTCTCCCTCCCCCTCTCCCTTCCCCTCCCCCCCGCTCCCCCTCCTCCCCGTCCACCTCCCCAACCTCCACGCGAACTCCATCGGGCAGAATACAGTTGCAGAGCAGGGCAGTGCGAGCAAGGCGGTTGATCCAGGGGGGCGGGGCCTGGTCTACCAGCAAGCGGCAGAGGTCCGAGGTGAAATGGTTGCAGTTGCGTGAGATGATTTGATAGCTGATTCCCGTGTAGCTGCACGCTAGCTGCTGCACTATTGAGCGCACCTGGGCATGGGGCATGGGGCATGGGCATATAATGGGCTTAAGTTAGCAGTTGCGTGAGATGATCTGGTAGCTGATTCCCGTGTAGCTGCACGCTAGCTGCTGCACTATGGAACGGACCTGCGATTGGGGCATGGGCATGGGAACGCATGGGCATGGGTGGGCATGGGTTTGAGGAGGGATTTAGGGACATAACAATAAGGTTGGGGTTGCAGTTGCGCGAGATGATCTGGTAGCTGATTCCCGTGTAGCTGCACGCCAGCTGCTGCACTATTGAACGGACCTGGGCATGGTGAGGATGGCGATAGGGACGGGGTTGGATATATGAATGTTGCAGGGGTTGCAGCTATGTGAAATGATCTGGTAGCTAATTTCCGTGTAGCTGCATGCTAGCTGCTGCACTATGAACGGACCTAGGACGGTGTCACGGTGGTAATGGGGATGGTGGTGGTGATGGTGGGAATGGGGAGGGGATGTGGATGGGGCATCAGGGTGGGGAAATGGGGATGGACGTAAGAGTGGGGATGGGGTTGCGGTTGGGCGTGATAAAGCGCGTGTTTTTTTAGAATTCTCAAAAAACAGGGGTTGCGGTTGGGCGTGATAATCTGGTAGCTCACAGCTATGAGTGGCGCCCACACAGGAGCAGCAACACCATTGCAGCATGAGTGGCGGTTGTGAAACCTTTGCACAATGACAAAGCGCAGGAGTCACACCTGGTTCAAAGAAGTGTTTTGAGATGTCTCAGTCACGGGTGTGAGCTACGCTACTGAATCATCTCAGCATGACTCCCGCAGTGTATGTTAGAGGGGACATTAGATACAAGCCATGCGCCATGCACCATCCATTAGCACCAAGCACCAGGCACCACCCACTACCCACCACCCACCTTCACGGAATTCACCTGCAGAGGCGAGAGCGTGGTGGTGCCGACAGGAATGGCGGTGCGGAAGAGGAACCCCGGGGCGGTGCGGGGAACCAGCTCAAACACACCGCTGCATGGCTGGTCGTGCGCTCCAAACGCGTACTCCACACCGTGCACTGGAGGAGAGGAGAGTGGGGGGAGCAAGGAGTGGAGGTACAGTGAGGCGATTTCTTTAGGCGCCTCACAAATGGAGGTGCACTTCAAACGCGTACTCCACACCGTGCACTGGGGGAGAGGAGAATGGGGGCAGCCGGGCCGGGGCAGGGGACATGAGGGTGACGTGAGACGAGCTGACTGTTGGGCCGCCTCAAAAGACACGCCGCTGCATGGCTGGTCGTGTGCTCTAAACGCATACTCCACACCGTGCACTGCAGGGAGAGGAGAGTGGGGCCAGCAGGAGTGGAGGTACAGTGAGGCGATTTTTGAGGCGTCCCACGCCTGGTCGTGCGCGCTAAACGCATACTCCACCCCGTGTACTGGGATAGTAGGGAACAGTGACGGCAGGGGGGGGGGGGAGGTCAAGTGAGAGGATTTTATAGGCGCCTCAACAAGGGTCGTGTGCGCACAGTCCACGCGTGCACCGGGTGGGCGGAATAGTGATGGCAGGTGGCGCGGGAATGAAGGAGGATGATTAGCCTCCACGTGAGGAAAGCGATGGCAGGTGGCGGCGTGGGGGTAAAGGGGGAAGATCTGCTTTGAGACGTCTCAAAACTTCACTATTTATACACGTGACTCCACATGTGCACCGGGTGGGCGAGATAGTGATGGCAGGTGGCGCGGGCCGGGGGTAAAGGAGGATGATTTGCCCCCACGTGAGGAAAGCGATGGCAGGTGGCGGCTTGAGGGTAAAGGGGGAAGATCAAACCCCACGTGTGCGCTGGCGTGGGGGAAAGAATCTATTGTCCTGGGCGACGCGACGCGACGCACCTTCGAGTCCCGAGTGGAAGACCCCCAGGCCGAGCCAGTAAAGAAAGTCGTTATATCGAGTCAGATCGTAGACGTTAACGTAAACGGGAGTTCCTAGCAGGCGCTGCGACTCCTCCGCCTTGTCGTCGCGCCCGCCTCGCCCCATCGCCTCGCTCACGCGCGCGCGCGCGCGTTGCGAATCACATGTGCCTCTATCGAGGGGTGACTCTCTTTCGCAGTGACCGTTCCGTCCTCGAGATGGTATCGCGAGCCCTTCGATCAAAAGGCTTGTCAATTAACTGACTCTTTAGCTCCGGCACGCGAGCAAGTCAATTGTTAGGACCGGGAATTGATGAATTCACCAAGTTCGGAAACGTCTACGTCCGGAATCTCAAGCAGTCTCGAAACTCGAGTATAAATGCACCATAAGAACTACGGAGAGCGCTCGCGGCTCGCGTCGCGAGGGAGGATGGGGAAATCACTCACGCGCGACTAGTGGTGGTGCGCTGCGGTGCGGTGCTCAGGGAATGCCGGTGGGGAATTAGTTTGCCTTGCTGTTCCGTCATACCTAAAGGCGCTGCGATTCTGACAGGCCACTTGTCAACTGGTGCTGAATGTGGTGGTTGGACGGTGACGGTCCGTTAGAGAGTCAGTTTCAGAGTGTGTACATAAATTCTAGCGGGTACACCTAGGCAGGATGTAGTCACAACGATGCTAAATTCCATTCGGCAACATTAGGTGATCAATCATCGTTGCCAGAAAAAGATGTAATTGTCGGTACAGCCTAAAGAATAATATTCCCAAATACAATATCAGATTCCATCTTGATAATCGGCTGTAATCACTTGTAAGTGTTCAGAAGCTGGCATGCTTGTAGTCACGTTCAAAAGTCAGTATATTCTTATCGAATCCGTTTGAAACACTGTCGTAGACGAAAAAGCGTAAAGTTATATCGGGAAAAAAGCACGGTCAAAATGTCGAGCCAATGGTCAAGAAGTCGACCCACAGACATTCGCCACTTGCAATGCGCTGGACCGGGAATCTGTCAGTCCGAATTCAGGCCGTACATAGGATGGGGCTCTGGCACAAAAGTTTTAGGAACGGGCACTCCGTGGGCGCTTCGAGTCGAGATCGCCAAAGTGCAATTTTTCGCACGTGTCATCCTCGCAGACTTTTCGCATTTCTGTGGTGGCACGAATATTTCATCTCGCGTGTGTTAGACGAGACAGCTAGTTGCCCTTTGCGAAACCTTCTGCGAACTTGCTGTTCACGATGTTACTGCACGCGACGGGCTCCATCTCCTAGAAGTTTGGGGGATCACACAATTTCTCTTCACGACATCATCTTCCCGCCCATATTTGTCAGTGCGGGAGGAGGAACAATCAATAGTCAGTTGTAGTACAGTACGGCCAGAATCATCGCCCGAACATAGTAGCGGATGCGTGGAGGGAATGACGGAGCGCCCTGGTTTCGGGTTTCCGATTCCTTTGGGCAGTGGTTTTGACAGCGCCTCGCTTCGCGCTCGCGTCCGATACCTTCGGTCAGTAAATTACGCTATTTTCCCATTTGGAGTCCAGAAACTACAACTTTGTTTTATTTAATGGGACAAAAAATATAAACCCCTCACGGGGGGGACGCCGTCAGGGAGGCATCAGCCCTCCGAAAGGGGTTTATTTTTTTTCACTGGCCACTAGACTAATACCAGGTAAACTTAATAATTTTTCTGGTCACCGGAAACTGGAAATGTCGAAATCAGCTGCCCCAAGGAATCGGACGCGAGCGGAAAAGCGAGGCGGTGTCAAAGCCACTGCCCAAAGGAATCGGAAATCCGAAACCGGGGCCGTTCGTCATTTCCTCGGATGCGTGTCATGACTCATGAGCGGATGGGCCTGAAGTGCATTTCCTAAAGCTCTAGTAACCATGACGGCGAATGTCATGAAATGCAGCGACGTCTATAATCCGGCGTCGGGAGATGACACGAGCAACGTCAGCGACGCTCGGCTTACGTCTCGCGTGCAAAAAACTACCAACGAGCCGTTATCGCCGCTTTCGGAGTCGGCGACTGAAAAGCCATCACCTCGCGGCCCGCCATTTCGCGTGCTCCGGCAAGCACTGCTTGTGCTTCTGTTCGTCGTCGCTGCGTGCTTAATATTCCAAGGAGTGACCACCTTCCGTATTACGACATTCCGAGTCGCCAGTTTTGGCAATTCTCCAGACCATGCCGTTCGGAGGCTTTCGGACCATGACAATAACGAGGATAAGAAACCGCTATTTAATAGCCTGTTGGAATATGAGATCTTAGTGCGCAGAGAGACCGTCAGTAACGCCAGTACTAATAAAGAGTCCCTTAGCACGACCAGCTCGCCCGTTGCTACAGTAGTTTCTCGATCACGCCAGGCATCTCCAAAAGCAAGCTCGTTACAGTCCCGCGCTGCACAAATTACACCCTCGCAGCAAGCAACGGAACGGATCAGCAACAGACACTTGGCGGAGCGGTTGTACATGGTGAGCGGAGGCGGCGACTATTGCGTGGGCGAGTCGCACTGGACGTGGAGCTTCCTGTGCGCCGCGGCGGAGGCGAAGGCTCTTAATAGAACCCTGGTGGTGCCGGATCTTAGATGCATCAGCCCGGCGCATTCGTTCAGGGGAAAAAAAGAGGAGAAGCCACTGGGACTATACTACAACATGGAACACATGATGAGGTGCGTGGAGTTCTTTTCGGGAGTTTGAAATCTATTTCCAAAAAAAAAAAAAGGTATGGGACTATACTACACGGAACACGCGACGCGGTGAGTAGAGAGTTTTTCAGATTGCCAGAGTGTGTTTTTTAGCATTTTCACACCCCCTCAAGCCTCTCCTTCCCTAATCATCGTTGCCCTCGTATCTCCCTCTTCCTTCCGCGCCGCCCAGCCGATAGCCAATGGCCTACGCAACTGCATTCCGGCAACGGTTTGAGACGCCTCAGATCTCTACGCGCCACAAAAACACATTTCCCCTCCTCCCGCTCCCCCCAGCCGACAGCCAATGATATACGCAAGCACATTTCGGCAGCGCTTTGGATCCCTAGACCCGGAGAATCTGCAGCAGCAGGGCAGGATGCGAGTAGCAGAGTATAAACCCTTTGCGGCGACTGCGTGGGTGAGGCAGAAGACAAGGGACGTTCAACTTGTTGTGCGGAGACTCAAAGAGGATCAGTTTGCGTATCAGATCTGCAAAGTGCCTGAGAATAAGGTGAGGGGTGTGTGAGGGGGAAGGAGGAGGGGGGGGTGGAGTGGGGAGGAGAGGAACCGGGGAAAGCGAGACGAGCGGGAAGTGAGGGGGGAGGGCGGGGGAAATGGGGGAGGGGGGGTGATGGAAGTTACTTGCATACCCGCTATCAACCCCATCATTTTTCCCGTTCCCATTTGTCCCCTCGCCTTTCTTCTCCCTCCCATGCCAGCAACCCACTGTTATCATCCCAGCCCTTGGTTTCGTTCTTTTTTGTTTTTCCCCTTTCTTCTCGCCTTTCTTTCTTTTTCATGTGTGCGCTGCCCTGCCCAGCTCATCCCCTTCCAACCCACCCCAACCCATCCACTCCACACGCCTCAGAAGCTGTTAAAGCGGGACTTAGAGCTGCTGTGGCGGCCGCAACCGCTGTCGAAGCTATCCAACCGCATATCAGCGTCAATGGGTTGGGACTACGATGCAGTGCATGTGCGGCGCGGGGACAAGGTCACGCCGTCCAGCCGCAAATACTGGCCCAATCTCGACCGCGACACACGGCCGAAGGCGTAAGCAGGGGGGGGGAGGTTGGGGGGGGGGGGGGGGGGGGGCGGACTTGTGGCGAGTTTGCACAATGCCGAGAAAGTATAGGATATTAGGGTGCTTCTTGCATATGTGCATTGAGTCTGTACCTGGGATGCTATGCCTTACGTAGTGGTCTGAACACTTGCGCTCTTTCTCCCCCTGAATGCACGCATGCTTTTTGTTTGTGAAATTCACCCGGTCATGCAAACTCTTTCTCTCTTCCCCTTCCTCTCCCCTTCCCCGTCTCGAACACGCAACCTCCTCCTGCCCAGCCTCTTAGAGACTCTCCCGCGCTTCATAAAGCCTGGGCGGCACGTGTACATAGCGTCGAACGAGCGCACGCCGGGCTTCTTCAGCCCGCTCGCCTCGCTCTACAAGATCCACGTGCTCTCCGACTACCGCCACCTCTGGGGGCGGGGGAGCAAGTTCCACAGGGACCTTAAAGCCCTCCTCCGGACCCTGAACCTGACTACAGTGAAGCCGGAGTTGGATGCTTATATGGAGGTAAGAGGGGAGGGTTTTATCACACTGGTTAACTTGAGCTGCCAGGCACAATTTACTGTCAGCATGCGTGACAAATGTTTTGTTATTTTTCTCTCACTCTCTCTCTCTCCCTCTCCCCTACTTTACCTTTGTTGTTGTGCACGGGTGCCTTGTGCAGTGGACTGTGGAGTTATCTGTGCTGGGTAATGCTAAGAAGAGAGTGGAAACGTTCAATGACCTCACCAGCGATAGCAAGAATGCAATGATACGGAATAACAAGTCTCAAGCCAGTTAAGGCCCGGGAGAATGCCGTCACAGGAGATACAAGTGGGGCCTAGATTGCTTCTGTGTGTCTCTGGCCTTTGTGCTGTGTTATAGGCGTCTCAACGGCATGGTTTTCAAGCACTGATCTCAATTTGGGACCTACTGTTAACACTAATGTGATGTTTTGGTAAAATTGTCTGGTAGCACAGTAGTATGAGCACTGGCTCAGACGTACTGCCGGCTTTTGAGCAGAGACCGTCTAAGTACGCACGTTTCCTTGGACCTGTAGAATACATTGTGTAATTATGTCCCTATTGAGGGCAATATTACTAATTTATATGACAATATGGTAAACAAATCATTGTCTGAGGGATCACCTAGGTTCAAATCAAAGTTGTGAAGTTAAGAACCCCACCACCCTTCCCCCCTCTCTCTCCCCTCTCTCCCCCACCCCCCACCCTGCAAACCCCACCACCCTCCCCCCCCCTCCCCCCCACCCCCCGGCCCACTTCCCCAAAGTTTGGGGGGGTGAGGGCGTTAAAGTGAAATTTTGGGATCCATTATGCGGGCGGAGGTGGTATATCAGCATAGCATCCCCACCGAGCATAACCTATCTTTCTATTCCGCCTTTCGTGTCAGTAGTGAGGTCAGGAAACGTCTCCACCCTTTTCTTCCCCTGCTTCATCAGGAGCTCATCCACAATCCACTGCGACATGCAGTCCGGGAAAGACAAGGAGAAGCAAGAAGTATGTACACACACACACACACACACACACACACACACACACACACACACACGCGCGCGCGCGCGCGCGCGCGCGTGCGTGCGCACCCTCCGCATTGACCCTCCCCACTCCCACACAACCCCACTCCACCACCTCCAACCCATGCCCACCGCCCACCTGCATCTGAGCGTCAAAAACAGGTCCTTCCTCTCGCAATCTCAACCCGCGTCTTTCAATCAGCGTGCAGCACTCGTTGTACCAGTCACTGCCCGGCGCCCAGAGGTGGCGGTAGTCGGAGAGCACGTGGATCTTGTAGAGCGAGGCGAGCGGGCTGAAGAAGCCCGGCGTGCGCTCGTTCGACGCTATGTACACGTGGCGGCCCGGCTTTATCAACTTGGGCAGCTTTTTCAACAAGCTGGTTAGCGGGAGGAGGGAGGAAGGAGGGAGGGAGGGGGGAGGGAGGGAGGACGGGAGGGGTAAAGGTAGGGGGGGAGGGAGGGAGGGAGGGAGGGAGGGAGGGGGGGAGGGAAATGTTTATACACACAACACAATTCGCTGGACTGATATTCAAATTACAGTGCAGCATCAAGCAAAGACCTTCCATATGCACCACCATAATCCCACCCTTTCTCATTTTCAAACTCGAAACACTCCCTTCTCTCCCCTCTCCGACCCCTCCCCCATCCCCTCTCTCTCCACTCACCTCGTCCTTCCCCCCCCCCCCTCCCCTCCCCCAATGCCCCACGCACGCATCAGGGCGGGTATCCCGGTCGAGGTGCGGCCACAAGCGGGGGTTGAGCTTGTCGCCTCGCCGCACATGCACGACGTCATAGTCCCACCCCATGCTCTTCCGAATCGCCTCTGCCAGCGGCCACAGGTACATGGGACGCTTCACCAGGCTGTAATCGCGCTTCAGACGCCTCTGGGTGGGTGGGATGCGGGGAATTAATGGGGGATTCATGGGGGTAGAGTAAGAGGCATGGGATGGGACCGGGAATTGCCTCTGCCAGCGGCCACAGGTACATGGGACGCTTGACCAGGCTGTAATCGCGCTTCAGACGCTTCTGGAAGGGGAGGGGGGGTGGGAGTTAGATGGGCCGGGGAAAATGGGGGAAAAGGGGGGTTAAGGAGGGTCGGGTAGAGTGGGCGGAGGAGGAGGGTAGGGGCTGGGGAGAGTCTGATTGGCCTGCACCACCCGCCACAGGCACATGGGGTACAGCCGAATGGACTGTGCTAGCCGCCATGGGAAGGGAAGGGGATTAAGGAGAAGGGGGGGAGTTATAGGGGAGATGCAATGGGGCCAGAGAAGGCGAGTGGAGCATGGTGCATGGTGCACGGGAGAGGGGGACTCACGGACATTAAGATTCTGTGCAGAAGAGTGTGGGGGCTGAAAAACCAGGCACCACAAACGGATTTACATTCAGATGCCTTATAAGGAGCACCAGCCACCACAGATGAGCAGAACTAACCATGCCTTGCAAAGGTATCCGCTTCATCCCCTCCAATCCATCCCATCCCCTCCAACCCATCCCATCCCCTCCAACCCATCCCATCCCCTCCAACCCATCCCATCTCCTCCAAACCACCCATCCAATCCCACCCACCCCATCCCGCCCACCCACCTCTTTCCTGCGTTCACTACACATCTCAAAGTCAAACCGCGCTTTGCGCACGATCAGAGTGGCACTTTCTATGCGCATTCGAAGTTGTCCCCTCCCACGCTCCTCTTTCCTGCGTTCACTACACATTTCAAAGTCAAACTGCGCTTTGCGCACGATCAGAGTGGCACTTTCTATGCGCATTCGAAGTTGTCCCCTCCCACGCACCTCTTTCCTGCGTTCACTACACATCTCAAAGTCAAACTGCGCTTTGCGTACGATCAGAGTGGCACTTTCGATGCGCCTTCAAAGTCGTTCCCTCCCACGCACCTCTTTCCTGCGTTCACTACACATCTCGTACGCAAACCGCGCGTTGCGCACGATGAGAGTGGCACTGCGCACATCCTCGCTCTCCAGCCTGCTCGTCGGCTCCTCCGCTTCGAACTCCCGCACGCTCATCTTGTGCCGCTCCCTCAGAATCGTCACGTTCAGCGGCCCTACGCTGATTTCGAACTGAAGGTCAAGCATTATGGGCTGGATGCTGTGTGGGGGGTGAGGGGAGGGAAGGGATGACTCTTGTCGCGTCTCCACAGTCTGATTTTTTGCCTCCTCTATTTCCTGTATCTCCTCAATCTCCTCCATATCCTCCACTCCTTCGTACCTTCCTTTGAGCTGACGACTCAAACATCATGGATCATGGCTAAAAACGACGAGTAAAATAACAATAAAAAAAAAGCATGCGTTATGGTATAAGGTTGAAAGGCCGAATGGGGAAGGAACATCAAAGTCAAGTGGGAAAGCAGCGTAAAAGGCGAAGCAAGACAGGAACTTGAAGGGCCAAGCGAGAGAGGAACGTGAGAGGAGCCTTGTCTGGGTGCATGAAGCGGATCTTCATCCAATTCATGAATACAATCCAGAAAGTCCTTTGCGTTACACATCAGCGTTAGAATCAGCTCGTGTAGACATTCGAGTCGACAAAATCCCAGAAGCGAATGGGACACGGATGAAACGCTGTTGCTTGGGCCCCGATTTGGAATCCCAAGGCTTAGATTCATCTGTCAGCCCTCCGATTGTCGCATAGATTCAGGCCACCTAGCAAGAGATGGACCACCCCTTATCAGATACTATCAGTCAGCTACCAGTTACCAGTTACAAGTTACATGTCACTGGTTATCAAAAGGACAAGGGCTCCTACCTCGGCCAGTGGTCCATATCATAATACAGCGCCATCGGTTTCTCCTCCGTCAGATGGGACAAAGTATGCTTTGCGTCCAGGCACCTAGCCATGGGAATGACGAGCGTGCGATTGAGAGCCTTCGCCTCCGCCGCGGCGCACAGGAAGCTCCACGTCCAGTGCGACTCGCCCGCTCAGTAGTCTCCCTCGCCAGTCACCGTGTAGAACCACTGCGAACCCTTGATTCTTCTACGTGCACCGTTTTCACCGCGTTGATCATTCGCATTGCTTGCATTGCCCCCATCACCACCGCGATCGGCACTGGAATACGGAATATCTGAGTTCTCCATCAGCATCGAAATCGTTATTGGCATTATCGGCAACATTGCCACCAGATTCCCCATGCGGCTGTGCTGCTGCGGGTACAGCGGTTTCTGCGCGGATGGTGGCGGATGTGGCGGAGGGCTCGCCAGAGCTTGCCTCGTCTGCTGATCTCGATGCTGTGAGGGTTATCATGGAAATCGGCTGTTGCTGCTGCTGCTGCTGCTGCTGCTGTTGCTGCTGCTGCTGCTGATGCTGCTGCTGCTGCTGTGGCTGAGGCTGCAGCTGGTGCGGCTGTTGGCCTGACACCTGCTGCTGCACCCGTGGCAGCCTGAGCCCAAGCGGCTCTTCTCTTAGTTGACGCTGCCTCCGCCGCCGCCGCGGCTGCTGCTGCTGCCACTCATCCTGCCGCTTTTGCTGCTCTGGATCGTCTCCGCCGGCGCGGCTCGCACGGGACGCGAAGGAGCCTCGCGCCACGTCGATTGCCGGGATTGGCGCCGTCCCTGCCGCTCCAATCGCATCTAACGTGTTTTCTGCTACTTCGGCGTTGAGATACTGCGAGGAACGGTTGGACAAGAGAGATTGTCCGATAACGATTGCCGGAACGAGCAGCACCAGCAGGCGCCACGTGGCGGACTTCCAGACCCATTGCGACGCGCATCCCTTGGAAGAACTTAAAGACAAGCCTGAGGATGAACCTAGAGACGAACCTGGAATTGCACCGGTATCCGTGACCACTAAACGGTTGGACAGGCGAAGGTAATGTTTCGAAAGGTCGGCTCCAACAGGCCTCGAGGCAACTGACAGCGTCTGCATGAGATTATGACGGGTTCCTTGCTCATAATGTTGACCGTCAGGGCGTGTTAAATCGCAAACTCCAAAAATTCGGCCACAATCCGTCGGGCCGTTTTTGCGAAGGTAACCAGTTCGCGACAATCGTAATTCTAGTGGCGACATTCGCAAATTTCGTAAAAAAATAACGAATTTGATGGCCGTTTAAAGCCCGAGTTCCACATGGCATTTTTCAAATTCAAGATTCTTGAATATGAACTCGCCAAAAACCAGGTTACCACCCAAAGTGCAGCTTTCCTTCACAACTCTGATGCATGATTGGCCAGCGACAAAAAAAAGTATTCCGCGTGAAGTGTCAACGGGAGTTGGTCCACTGTTCACCCTCAGAAAAATTGAAAACCAAGTTGTACTTACGTGCAGCCATATTGAGTCTAGCACACGTAGTGCGCTCCGCTTTTCTAGACCACAAGAGCGCGTAATATCGCTTTCAGACAATGGCGGCGTGATGTCTCAACGAATGAAGTTCTCGCTACTCTGTTCTGCAGTGTTTAAAACCCTAAATCTGAAAACCACTTTGCCATGCTGACCTCGGGCTTTAAAAGGTCGACACGAAAACGACGCTGAGTCGACTCCAAAGCGGCCAAGTAGTCGACACAGTGTGCGACAAACGACTGCGACGTCGCATGGATTCGTCCAGCAACCAAATTTGTGATCGCGTCAAATATGAAGAATCGCCGTCAAAAGTGCGACCCCGTCGCACATACTAAACTACTGTAGTAACTGCAAATTTAACAACTTTTCCGAACCAGCCTGCAATTCGGCCACCAAAGTTGTTAAATTGCCAAAACTGTTAATTTTGGCTGTTCAAGAGTCGACTCTGATTCGGCCACCTCGTCGTTGTTCGCGAAAAATATGACGACCATTTGGTCGTAAAAAATTCGGCCACACCCCATTTTCGGAATTGTGTGGCGATTTAACACGCCCTTACGGCGAAACATCCCAAATTTGTTGTCGATGGGGTTGGCGAACCAAACGACGCAGTGGGTACTTCGGACCTTTCTTCGTTGTGGGTGTACTGTCTGTGGGGTGAAAGTGCATAGTATTCGGGTGACCCCGTACGAACCATGCTTGCCGAACCTACGAAATGTAGACTCGGGAGAATGTACAGTTTTGGTAATTGTTACTCTGTTCGGACTCTGCTGTAGAACGAACTCAGCGCGGTCGAGCCTACATTGTCGTTGGGGTTCCAGACCTACATTCATCCCACCAATAAGAGACTTCCATTGAACTTTGTCAGAAGGCTGCTGGATACAGTCACTTACCGAATCAGATAACGTTTTCTGAGGTTCGGAATAGCACAAACGATCAGAATTAGGTGCCGAAACGTATCACACGAACTAGATTGGCGACGAAAGGCGTTTTTAGCCTACAAAAAATCGATGACCGTCGATTATGCTGATTGGACTGTTACAGATTGCACATGTCATAATTTCTCGAATCACAGCTGTTCGTGCAGGTTGGAAATCCAACCGTCGATGAGACAAAACCTGGACAGTGTAGATCAAAAGAGATTGGGGTTGGAAACAGGGGCGTAGATGTTTTATAGCAGTGGATGGTTGAGATTTCAGATGCCATATCTGAAAAATGCTCGACTGGTTGGAAATACAACCGTCGATTGAGAATTCAGATCAAGAGCTAGGATCAAGAGATGAAATAGATGACAAGGCAAGAGACGTTCTGATTGGTTCAATTTGATGAGCACACACACTCACCCACCAAACTTCGTTGAGTTCCATGCCCAAATAGACTTCCCGTCTTTCAATCATCATTTCTCCACCTTCAAGTGCTATCCTTAGCTTCTGCGCAGTTCTTCCTCACAGCCGTCTTCCGTAGTCTACATCTTAAGTCCACGTGCTAGGTTCTTCCGCACACTCGCTCGTCACGCGCTGTACTTATTTCACGGCCTCGTGTTTTATCTCTATATTAACCTGCGTGATTGTTGTTTCTCTTTTGCAGGTGCCGTGAATATAGGAATTGCAGTTTCTACACTAAGGTGGTTCGTGGAATGCGGTTTTTGATCCCGTCTAGTTTCCTAACACCAAGGCGACTGTTCTGACATCTAATTTTGCAGGCGATTAGACAGCATAAGCGAGCACATCACAAGACTCGTTTCACAAGACTCGTTTTTTTTTTTTCTTCTTTCCTTTCTTTCTTTGCAAGGTTGGTGTTTCAACGGTGCTCTTGGATTATTGCAACGACAATTTTTGTTTCCCTGATTGTTTCTGTGCTGGCGACAGCGGCTCTATAGTCTTACTATAAGGTGCCACGATTCAAAATGTGGTCCTCTCAAGTGACACTCGACGGGGATCTGTGCAATATCTTCGTACGGTGTTACGACGACTAGCCTTACTCTTGATGCAGAGCAAGCCACCCTGCTTGTGATTTCTGTGATGAATTGTTTATTTTTAATGGAAAGAAATCAATGTGTAAATTCCTAGATCAAATTTGTAACACAAATTATGTGCAATTTGTTAGTATGAGCTTAATTCCTTGTTTGGGCGGATGTACATAGTGTATACTTTGCTCCTAGTATAACCTAGTTGTGTGTCGGGGTTGGTAGTATATGCCTGGTGTGGCCTTTGTAGGCACATGCGCTGAGATAGTGTGTGTCACAAGTACACACTCCGTTTGCACTGTACACTTGGAACACAAGTGTTTTGTTAGTAAGAGAACCTGTCGACACAATGTGTTTCGGGGGTGAGTCGATACAATGCAAGTTGTTACTCCGTTCAAGGTACTTTCGAAGTCCAGTCAGAGGGCATTTTTGGGATGAATGAAGCTCGAGATGCACCGACATTGCCCGAACCCTGAGCCACGTCGGAATCAGGGAAGCGACAGATTCTATACCAGGGGCCCCAAGTCATTGCTGTGTTTATAACTCATCAGAATAACCTTCTTCTTCCTTCACCAATCCCAGCCGTGATCGCAGAAGTCGCAGGCTTAACTTTGGCTTTTTAATAAATAGCAAGAAATACGTTTTATCGAACAAAAAAAAATACTTCGACAGGCTCGCATCGGGAATGTAGAGGCTGGTCAGTAAGTCTTATCGTAGGGATGAAATGGGTCGACAAACACAACAGAAATTCCTGGGTAGAGCACACAAAGCTCGAATCAGAAGCACAATTCTGCTGGTCATTCAAACAGAAAGTCCTGGCAGGGTAAAACGGACAACAGAGCATACCAAAGCACTTATGAGCTTTTGTCAGCACCATACTATCCAAGGACCCGGCTGACTTATAGCTGAACACAAGCTTTTGGAAACTGCTACAGAGATCTGCTAACTACGATGAGGATAGTGCTTGTTTGACATTCAAAGGACGGCAGATTTTTTTGAAAAAGGGATGATGCTGCTGGAGGCCTACTTTGTCAGAACCCCAAAAGCCCTGGCAAAAAGAGCGGTACACATGATGCCCGGTTGAGCCCCCCAACTTTGGCCTACCCCAAATGCGTATAAGTGATTCTGCATTTCGCGGTGGTTTCGTCAATTCGCGTCGGGCAAAAAGGGCTTATATAAAAATTTTGTAACTCACCGTTGACTGTTTGACTGCAGTCTCATCAGTCAGACTTCCGTTTCTGTGGCTCTTATTGGTCGACGTGCTTGTAACGTAGGTGCAACTTCGCGGCAAGAAACCCACGGGTGCAAGGTTTCTAGAACGTACAAGGCAATTTCGCGTGCACGGGTTGGGCATCGACTGTACGAACAATGGCTCTCGCGGCAAATGTCACGCGAGTCGCGCGCGCCAGCATACTACCTTGACAATGCTGACTTACGTATGGAAAAGGTTCTGATTGGTTGAATACCCACGGTTGAAGGTTGAAGATTGGCCCATCCGCTTATAAATGTTTGTATGTTCCATTATAAGCCCACCAGTGTTTTTTGTGCAAGGAAAACTCATTGTGACTGCTTTGCATACAAACCCCACCTTTTCGACTTGCTTGCACTTTTTCAACTGACATCAACGATACTAAGGTTGCCTCGCATAGCCCCTAATTTTCCTTGCCCAACCTGCACTCAACCTTTCGTACCCGATGTTCCTGCCTATATAGGTTAGCATAAACCAATGCTTCATTAGTCTTTTTCTGCACAACTCATAACATCCCGGGCATTATAGTATGAGCTGGAATCTAGTGCGTGCGACTTGGGCGAAATTAATCTACGTATACTCAGAGCCTACGGCTAATCTCTTTGTACGATATGTATTTTTACATAAAATATTCAAATATGGCATTCTATGACCATATTATAATCTGCTGGCGTGTCTCTTGTCGTTAGTGAGGTCAGGAAATGTCTCCACTCTCTTCCTTGCCTGACTCAATAATAGCTGATCCACCATCCACTGCAACCATTGGGCCAATGAAAGACAGGGAGAAGCCAAAGCACACACAATAGGGTCAGCAGGAAGAGACGTAAAGTGTTGTAACCGTGCAAGGAGTAACATACACATAAGAGGAAATGTACATATTGTAACCGGTGCAACAGGACACCACGGGGTTGAAGATGAATCACAGATGCTCTCAAAAAAGGATCATAAATCTTCAACACCAATCACCCACTCTCATGCACTCCCATTACTCCACTTCCTACCAATGCCACACACCCACCTGCATCTGAGCATCAAACACCGGGCCAGTCTCTCCGAACGTGACTCGGTGCCTCTGCATAAGCTCCCAGCACTCGTTGTACCAGTCACTGCCCGGCGCCCAGAGGTGGCGGTAGTCGGAGAGCACGTGGATCTTGTAGAGCGAGGCGAGCGGGCTGAAGAAGCCCGGCGTGCGCTCGTTCGACGCTATGTACACGTGGCGCCCCGGCTTTATGAAGCGCGGGAGCTTTTTCAGGAGGCTGTTGAGGGGAAAGGAAGAAGGGGGGAAGGAAGGAGTGGGGAAGTGTGTCGGAGTTAACCAAAGACTGACCGATTTACACCCACTAATGCACCACAGCAACACCTTCAAATCTCAGCACTGTAACTCCCGCGTCAGCCTTCCCAACCCTTACGTATCACCAACTCCCCCCAATCCCCCTCTCTTCTCCCTTTTCCCTTCTCCTGTTTCCCCTCCCCTCCTCCCCATTCCCCATGTCACACACCCGCATCAGGCCAGGTATCCCCAATCGAGGTGCGGCCAGAAAGTGGCAGTTTAGCTTTGCCCCCTCGGCCTTCATGCTTGCAATCATACCCATCCCATTCCCAGCACATTCCAGTTGCGGCACTACCCTCCACTCCCCCCTCCCCCCAGGCCCCACGTACGCATCAGGGCGGGTATCCCGGTCGAGGTGTGGCCAGAAGTAGCGGTTGAGCTTGTCTCCTCGCCGCACATGCACGGCATCATATGCCCCCCCAATGCTGCGCTGAATGGCATGCGCCAACCGCCGCAGGTACCTGGGCCGCTGGATCAGGTTGTAATTGCGCACTAGACGCCTCTGGTGGGGGGAGAAGAGGGTGGCCGGCGGGGAAGGCAGGTAGAGGGGCCGGGGGAAGGGGCCAGGAGCTGAAGGGCCAGTTGTAGGGCCAGTTGTAGGGCCAGTTGTAGGGCCAGTTGTAGGGCCAGTTGTAGGGCCAGTTGTAGGGCCTGTGCTAACAGCTGAACGTACCTGGGACGCTGGATCACGTTGGATTTGCGCACTAGACACTTCCAAGGGAAGAAGGGTTCGAGGGTCATTATGGGTTGAGGCGTCATAATTTACCCATGGAGGGAGAACAGACAAGAAGATCCCGAGGAGCAGAGTGGGGAACTGGAAAACCAAACGCTACAGGGGAGTCTACTTTTGAGGCGCCTCAAAAGGATAGATAACCAGACACCACGCACCATACTCACCTCACCACGCACCATACTCACCTCACAACGCACCACACAAACCCCACATTCCGCACAACCAGCGTGGCACTTTCGATGCGCCTTCAAAGTCGTTCCCTCCCACGCACCTCTTTCCTGCGTTCACTACACATCTCGTACGCAAACCGCGCGTTGCGCACGATGAGAGTGGCACTGCGCACATCCTCGCTCTCCAGCCTGCTCGTCGGCTCCTCCGCTTCGAACTCCCGCACGCTCATCTTGTGCCGCTCCCTCAGAATCGTCACGTTCAGCGGCCCGAACCTGAGCTCGAATTCGAGACTCAGCATTATGGGCTGGATGCTGCGTGTGAGTTGAGAGGGTTGAGAGGGGGTAAGAGGGGGAAGAGGCGGGAGGGTTGGAGGGAGCGAAGTAGGAGGGGAGGGAGGGAAAGTGGAATAATTTCGAGCCGTCAGCTATTCAGATTACAACAGTTACCGGTTACCATTCCCTGGTTACCAAAGGGACAAAGAATCATACCGCGGCCAGTGGTCCATCGCATAGTACAGCGCCATCGGTTTCTCCTCCGTCAGATGGGACAAAGTATGCTTTGCGTCCAGGCACCTAGCCATGGGAATGACGAGCGTGCGGTTGAGAGCCTTCGCCTCCGCCGCGGCGCACAGGAAGCTCCACGTCCAGTGCGACTCGCCCGCGCAGTAGTCGCCCTCGCCCGTCACCGTGTAGAACCGCTGCGAACCGTAGCTTCCGCCGCCTGCACCGCTCGCACTGCTTTCACCGTTTCCTTCAATCGCACGGCGTGCGTGGCGCGTATCACCACCGCCATCCGCGGCGCTGGGTTTGCCATGCGCGTTCTGATCGGCGTTGGCATGGTTGGCAGCATCACCACCGGATTCGGCATGCTGCCATGCTGCGCGTGCAGCAGTTTCTGCGCGAATGGCGGCGGGTGTGGCGGAGGGCTCGACAGTGCTTGCCTCGTCTGCTGAAGTCGATGAGGTTGTGAGCGCTGTCAAGTAGGTCGACTGCTGCTGCTGCTGCTGCTGCTGCTGCTGCTGCTGCTGCTGCTGCTGTGGCTGCCATTCATCTTCCTGCGCTGAACCGCTACCAGTCACGTCTTGGAGAAAGCCACCAAAATCGCCACCGTCGCCACCGCCGCCACCGCCGCCACTGGCGCGGCCCAAGTCATCGTCTTCCTCACTCGTACTGCTCGCACGCGACGCGAAGGGCCCCGGCGCCGCGACGGTCGCCGCCATTGGCGCCGTGATCGCATTTACCGCACCTTCGGCGTCGGCATACTGCGAGGAAACTTCCCGGGCGCGGTTGGGGAAGAGAGATTGTACGATAAAGATCGCGGGAACGAGCAGCAGCAGCACGCGCCACGTGGCGGATTTCCAAGCCCGTTGCGACGCGATTCCTTTGGATGAACTTAGAGAACCTAATACAAACAAACCCGAAGATGAATTTAAGGACGAACCTAATAGAAATGCACCAGAATCGGTGACCACTAGACGACTGGACAGGCGAAGGTCTTGTTTCAGAAGGCCGCCTTTAGATCTCGAAGCCCGTTGGACCGCCTCCATCCGAATATGACGGTTTCGTGGCTCCTAAAAGTACGGGATTTGACCGTGACGGCGAAATTAATTAGGCCCAATACACGAGATTATGGAGTGTAGTCAGATGGTGCATGGTTCCCGCTCGTATTTATAATCTCTGAAGATGCACCGAGATTGCCGAGGCCTTGAGCGACACGAGTTATTGACACGCATAGAACTCATCAGGTTGATGTTTCTCTGGAAAATCCAAGCCCCTTACCGATGTGACCGTAGTGCGCAAACGATCGGAGAAAGTGGTATGTGACCGTATTGACTTCGGCCCCTACTTACCACCGTACGAAGCAACTCTTTTTGTACGGCTACTACCGTTAGCGGAATCTTGAGTTTTGCTTCTGGGAACCACACAGTGATGCACAAATCCTAGTCACTCTGCCTTAGTCAAATCCGAGTCGTAGTTGACTAATGCTTAGTTAGATAATGGTACACAAGTGCCCTGCTTGCTACAATGTACGGTACTATTCTTTTCGCTTGGCGGTATAGGGATGGCCGAAGCGCCTGGAGAAGTGTGCTTGCTGGGCTGTCAGGAACCTCTGACAAAATGAGCCAAAACATTGCAGTGGTCGCCAAGGTCGCACTTGAATCGTTCGTGTGGAGCCACTTGAACACGATGTATCATCGTACGCGCCGCAGGAATGCCCTCTACTGAGCGGAATTGCGTGTTCAACGAGGAAGAGCTCGCCTGCAGACAGAGTCGAACGCGATGCGAACAGAGTCGTTCGTCCAATGGGCTTTCGAGTTTCGATTGATCAACAACAGTTTCTCAACTAGCAAGCGAGGCCCGGTTCGGCAGGCATTAAAAAAACGGTTTCCCCAGATGGGCTACAGTGAACCGACCACCCTGGAACCTTCTTTGATAAGCGCGTGAAAGGTTATCTAGGCTCGATATAAGCGGATCATCGCCGAACCAGACAATAATGGAATGCCAGCCGAACACCCTTTTTGGCGCTGGCATTTTCCACCAGAGGAACCTTCCTCAAACCCTATTTCTCAGGCAAACTGTCCATTTTCTCATCCGCCGCACCTTCCGCCTCGAGACCCCGCACCATGCGGGGGATCATTGATTCGGGGCAATCACACTTTGCCCTGAAAAAAACAAATCCCGTTATTTCCCACCCGTCTTCGTGCCCGCTGGTAAATCTCATATCTGCAACACACCATCACTAACAAATCGAACGTACAGAGTCTCCTGCCCGATTTTTTTCGACGTCCACCGCTGATTTTCAGGACTGCCCGAACTGCCAGAATAGTGATTCTGCTCTCTGTCAGCGCAGCTGCATACGAGCTTCTTCGAAGGGTAACTTTCGGTTGATGCCATTAATTTTGGGCAATTTAATGCCAACCGAACACTCGGGCCATTTTTCCCGAAGTTTCATTTCAGCTACAGTCTGTTTCTTGGGGCCATTTTTTGGGGGCCCGTTAAAATGGCCGATAATGGCGATAATGGCCATAATGCCTGCCGAACTGGGCCCGAAGCTATCCCCTGCATTTGCCATTCCTGTGTAATTGTTACTGGTGCAACAAAACGAGATAGCGATGATTACACTAGGTGTCAAACGAGTACGAAGTACGAGCGAATGCTTATAAGCGAAACATGCAGACGATAACGTGGTGCGTGCGAGCTTGCTAGTGCTATGCTGGCATTGAGGTTCGGGTTAGTTCCGAAGTGTAGGCCGACTCGGCCGGGTCAGCAGTGCGAGGTTTAGTGAAACAGTGCGCGCAAAATTGGCGAAGCCCCGTTAGCAGTAACGGGCGAACAACGGCTGCTGCTGTACGCGTTGTTGACGATCGCGGTAAGGAATAGCGAGATAATTCCTTACACTATCCCCCCCCCCCCCCCCTCTCCCCCCTCCCCCTCCCTACCCCTCAAGAAGCCCCCTCCGCTACGCGAGTGCGTGTATATCGCGGAAACCGCGGCTCCTCAGGTACACTTGCAGGGCAGGGTGGTTTTCAATGTTGGCCAGGGGCACCCAGCTATCTTCAGTTGTCGTGCGATCCTTCCAGAGGATGAGGGATTCGATCCTCCTAATGCCTATGGGGTGACGAATCTGATGGCTCATCATTTTTTTGGGCTCGATGATCGGCTCCGATGCAGGGCGAGTCATGGATGGCGGGCAGTGACGAGGGAGTTGTCTGGTGGTTGGGATGTAAGGTCAAAGTAGGCTGACGTGGAACGATGGGCTTATGTACTAGTCTGTCGGCAACAGTAGATGGGCAGTAACTGGGGTGACCATGTGGCTGATTTGGAATGGTCCACAGTAGCAGGGTAGGAGTTTTAGTACGTCGGGCAGTCGTAACTTCTGTGTGTCGAGCAGTATGTAATCCCCTGACTGGTACGTAACTGGGCAGCGGTGGCGGTCAGCGTTTCGTTTAGTGAAGACGTTGGCCTTTTTAATTGCTTTTGCGGCTGCGGTGCGGGCAGTTAACGGGAATGGAGTGTTGGCCCCGCCCTCGCTTGAAAACGTTGACAACTTGGTCGGATGTACGGGAGAAGCAGCCGACCGTTCACAGTGAGGGAGCTGCTCGACGGGCTTCGTCAAGCGGCAGGGTGTCACTATGGGGTTTCCGTCGACCAGGGGTGCTCGACGGGCGCAGCTGACTGGGCTGGGCGACGGGTGGGCTGTTGACCAAGAGTGCTAGTTCGACGAAGAGGTCGACGGGGCAGTCCGTCGACCTGACATGTGAGCAACGGTCGACGAGGGGAGCTCGGCGACATCAGCCAAGAGTTATGGTCCACGGAAGGGGTCCGTCGACCAGGGGGCAGCTCGACAGGAGCTGTGGTCGACCTGGGGTACTTGTTGGTTGACTAGAGGCACCTGGTGGTAGACCAGAGGCACCTGGTGGTTGACCGGGGGACCTGGTGGTCGACCGGAGCACCTGGTGGTGTCCAGGTCGACCGGGTAACCTGCTCGACGAGTTCTGCGGAGGCACGCGAACGTCGTCAAGGTCGCGATAGCAAAGACAACTTCGGGCTGGTATCCTGAAGTCGATGTGGCTCGTCAGGCGCAGACAACAGCTGACGGATGCACAACGGTGCAAGTCGGAAACAATCATCTGTGCGCACTTGCGAGCGTGCGCACCGCTAGACAACCACCCTGTTGCAGCGTTGGCATGTCGACCTGCTCTGCTGGCAGGTCGCCCTTCTGCAGTGCTAACGCGGCTCCTCTATGCAACGCTGGCAGGCGGTCGACCATACAGTACTGGCGGTCGACCAGGCTAGCTCCAGAGTTGCTAGGTGCCTGATGTAGTCATTCTGTCATTGCTTGTTCTATCATTCTGTAATTCCAACTTTGCTAGTGAAAACTCTTGCCGATTTTCTTAGACTTAGTCGCTGTTGCATTCAGATTTGCAGGCCTGTTGTCCTCTGCTGCCATTGCCACTGCTTCCCTCCTTTTCAGGTCAGATTTGACCAGCTCAAGCGCCTGGAGGGTCTCGAGCAGCTGGGTCATATCCTTGGGCGTGTTGCAGGTCAAGATTCCGATTTCTGCCGTCCACTCCTTAGGTAAGCCGCTGATGATGTATCCCATCATGTGCTTCTCTGATTCGGGCGCGCCCATTGCTGTGAGATCATCGTTGTAGCTCTTGGCTCTATTGACGTAGTCAATAATCTTCTCCGTTTGCTCCATTGCGAGCAGCAGCATCTTCTTTCTCACTGCAGTCAGATTCGTGTCGGTCCGTCCGAGGTATACGGCTTCCATGTATGCCCATGCACGTTGTGCTGAATTTATGTCATCCGCGAACTGGTCCAGCCCCACAGCGATGGAGTCCGAAACTGAGTGACGCAGTTGGAAGAAGGCTTGCAAACTCTTCTTCTTGTGTGTCCTCTTTTCTTGTGCCGTTGCCGTTGCAGGTGGACATACTCCTTCCTCCGTCTCCTCGTCCGCCTTGTAGAAGTGCCATATATCAATCTCTCTTGCCCGCCGCATGAACTTAAGACGCCACGTGCTGTAATTGTTGCCATTGAACCGTTGCGCCTCGCTCAGGCCGATCGTTGGCCTGGCCACCATTTGCCCTTGTTTTAGGGCCTCCAAGAGGGCTTGGACTTGGGGAACTTCAGCACTGACTGAAGAACCCGAGCTTGCCTCACCATCCCCGTTCGGCATGATGCAGGAACTTGTATTGGCCCTTCTGTAATACTTGAAACGCACTAGAACCAGCTCTGATACCAGCTCTTAGACTTAGTCGCTGTCAGTGTGTGACTTAGCAGGTCACGAAAAACAGCAGTAGCGGACCTCAAACTGGATCTGAAAGTTGATGAAGTAGGTTGCTTTCCAACCCAGGTTGTAAACAGAAAGTTTCACTATGAAAATCTGATTCAATCCGAAATCCGAATTTCAAAGTGCGCCTCGCGTAACGCGCCTCGTCGCGAATCCGAAATTCGTAACAGTAACCGACGTTGAATTCAAACTGAACCGTCGATGAAACCGACTTTCTTCAACTCCACCGAACGCCGCCTCCAGAAAGGTTGGGAAAATTCTGGCGGTCCAGAACGTTCTCCCTTCTCTTCCTCCTGAAACCCTCGTTTTCACCAGCTCTTCCTCACGATCTCTCACCTAACTCCTCCACCGTAAAAAACTCAATTTCCAGCCTATTCTTTCCCACTCCATAGGTAAGGCATTTTCCAGAAGTCCCTTTTGTCGTTT